AGGAGCATCTACTATGACCACACCCGCAGACAGCTCCCGATCATCCAGGACGACATCTTACACCGCCTCCAGAAAGCGATGAGAGAGGTGGACGGGATTAACGAGAAGCTGGCAGATGCCGATGAGATCTGGACGAGGTTCTGTGAAGAGCGGACCGGTCTGGCTGTTCAGGCAAAGGGCTGTGTAGACGGCACTTATCTGGACGGTGCGGCTGACTGGAATGAAGCACCGGATTACTATCTGCGATCTCGTATTGAAGAGGATCACGACGAATTTGCACGTGAAGTGGAACTGAATGGCCACGGTCTGCGTCAGTCCAAATCAGCGCGGAGCCTCACCGAGGACAGGGATGGCTTCCGCACCTATGTCCAGCAAATGCTCGAATCGACCCGGGGCCGCGAGCTCAAGGATAGTTATGATCCCAATCGCCTGAACCTGCTGTTCCGCAAGCACTCGGAACCCTGGTACGGCATTGCCAGAATGCATTTGGACCATGCCCACCGCCGATGCGTTGCGTTTGTCGAACACATTGTCGAGAACGTGCTGCGTAAGGAGCTTCCTGCACTGCCGACGCGTGTGTCGCAAGCCATGAAGGACCATCTCTACCAGGCACTCGAGAAGCAGAAAAAGAAGGCCGAAGACGAGCTCAGAGCAATCGAACAGGATCGGAAACAGCCGGCACAGACGCAGAGCAAGCGGTTCGAGAAGCTGGCGCGGCAATTGAAAATAAACAAGAACTTTGCTTTGGTCAACCGGGTGGCGGAAGAGGAGTATCCGTATATGGCAAACGCGTCGTCGCCAGCGAGAACGGAGAGCGTCAACGAGAGGGAGAATATGCCACCTCCACCGGCTACTCCTGGGAGCGCCACACGATTCACCCCGGCCCATGTAGATCGAGTTTTGGCCCAGGACAGCCGCGCCGAGTCAGCAGAGGAGATTGGGAAGAGGATGATCATTTACTACGAGGTGAGTAACCATTCTTTGGTGGCCACTAGTCGGACGGGGACAAAACGGATAAAACTGACTCTTTCACGAACAGATCTCTCGCGAAGTCTTTGTTGACAACGTCGTTGTCCAGGTCGTCGAGCGGCATCTTCTAAGGCCCCTGCACACGCTGTTCCAGGGCGACTTTGGTGTCGACAAGGACGTCTTCACGCGCGCCGTAGACGCCGAGCGAGACCAGAATTTGACTGCGAGGAGGAACGCGCTTAATGAGAGGATCAAGCGGTTGAAGACGTTTGCTGACCAGCTACGCGTGATTTGATTGATCGATCCTCTGGTATGACGGTGTCAATCGTGCAAAGTTGGACTGTATTTGATCTGGACATCTTCGGCCCTGGTTTATTTTGAAGACTTCTATCTGTTGTAGTAGCGGCATTATCAGGGCATTGAGACAATTATATACCTAGGTGAAGGAGAAAGAGAACATCTAAATATATTCATACTAAAATTCGTACTTATATTCATGGATCTTGCCTCGTATTATTGTGGACGAGGCTCGGGCAGTTTATGGCCGAAGTTCGAGCCGAGGCTTGAATCCTCGCAAGTCAGAAAATCAAAACTCGCGCAGTTGGTGGTCGTCTTCCACATCATGTTCCACCAACATCTGTTTTAGTTCCCAGCGTGTCATTGAGCGTAAACATTCTGCTTCTGGTCTTGCCATTATTACAAGGATGATATCGGTGTCATCGGCTGAATCGAAACACCACAAGTAACGAGATATAACCCTCCATTCATCTCCTACCACTACCACTTTAGTGGCCTCTAGCGAAACCCTCGATCCGCCATGGAATACCTCTCGACGCTGCAGTCGCCCGTGGACGACCTGAAGCCGTCACTGTTCGAACTGCTCTCGGAGCAACAGCTGTCGGCGCTCCTCCCGCCCACGATCCGATACCTCCTCGCCCTCCTCACGCACCGATACCCGCGCTACCTGCTCCGCGTGCTGAACAACTACGACGAGGTGTACGCGCTGCTGTCACTCGCGGTCGAAAAGTATTACCTCGAGCACTTTGGCGGCAGCTTCACGGAGAACTTTTACGGCCTCAAGCGCGAGAAGGTCATCAGCCTGCGCGGCGGCGAGGTCAAGAGGACCCAGATCGCCGTCCCCGCCGAGGTCCGCGAGCGCCTAAAGCTCCAGGGCCGCGATGTCTGGAAGAATCTCGCCGTCTTGGTCGGCGTGCCTTATATCAAGCGCAAGTTGGACGAGAGCTATGATATCCACATCGCCCCGTCCGCGGGGTTGCTGATCAGTGCCGGAGGAGGAGGGCTGGGAGGAGTTGAAGGGAGGAGGTATCTGGACCGGGACGAACTACCGCCAAATCCTACGATAAAACAAAGGATCATGTGGTATTACAAGTGGTTTTTGCGGCATGTCTATCCGAGTCTGAATGCCGCCTACTATTTCAGCATCTTGGCCTTCAGCTTGGGGTACCTGTTTGATGGCACAAAATACTCCAGCCCATTCCTTTGGATGGTGGCCACGCGGATGAGGAGGATGGGCGCGGCGGATCAGCAGGCTATTGATGCCGCCAGAGAGGCTGCTGATAAGGCCATTGCCGCGAGTGCCGCCGGGAGACCGGGACAAGGGCTGAGTGGCCTCTTGAATCCGCGCACGCTGTATCCCCGGTTACTGTCAAGCTTGAGGATCCTCTTGCCAACGAGTATCTTCGCGTTGAAATTCCTAGAGTGGTGGCACGCCAGTGATTTCTCGCGGCAGTTGACCCGCAAAGCCGCCGAAGGGTTGGAATTGCCGCCTCCCGTTGTCTCCGGGATGGAACTCGCTCGCAAGACCGCGCCGGAGCCACAAGGTCCCCTGCGCAGATTGACAACGAAGAACACCCCAGCCAAACGGACCCCGCCGGTCTCGAGCATCACTTTCCTTCCAATTTTTACAGTCCCGCCCCCACCATCCAGCGACCTGTGTCCTATCTGTCTCCATCCGATTTCCACGGCGGCGGCATGCCAGACCGGCTACGTCTTCGACTACAAGTGCATATTCCAGTGGATCGAGGGGACGCATGAGCGACAGGAGGCGTTTATGAAGGGCGAGAAAATGAGCGAGTGGGAAGACGACGATGACGAGGAGGAAGAGGGAGAGGATGCAAACGGACGGCCAGGCGATGAGTCGAAAAAGGCAGAGCGCAAGAGCCGTGAGGGAAGCTGGGAGAGCGGCCAGGGAAGATGTGCCGTCACCGGCAGACGAGTCCTCGGCGGCACAAGCGGGCTGCGCAGAGTCATGGTTTGAATGGTCTCCAGCGTCCTAGCCTGGATTGTCAAGAACATGTGCAAAAGAAATCCTCAAGGGAAACTCCCATGGGGGACCTATCGTCTGGTCCACGCGAAGAGGCAAATTGCGTCAGTCTGCTCGATGTCCTGTCGGAACATGGCATCAACTCCTAGCCTCTAAACACGAGACAGGCCCAAGCGGCTCGCCGTGAAGCCAACTCGATCGAAACAACCTCTCCTTCGATGACCTCTGTGTCGATCACGGTACCGCCGGCTTCGTAGGCACGACAACCTCTTCGGCAACACAATTGGACTTTTCCGAGGCGACAAGACGTATAATGGGAGGACTTACTCGCGCCACGGCTTGGGCATGGAGAGGATGATGGTCTTCAAGCAGCCCGCACTCAGTGCCTGTGTCTGTGTCGATCCGGTCATGCCTTACCTGGTCCACCGTTTTGGATGGCGTCTTTGGCCAGCGCCCAGGCTAGCGAGCTATACATGACATCTTTGTGCGAGTACGCTAGCCGGGAAGCTTCATGAACGCCGCAATCTGCAGCTCACAAATGGTCACTCCGACGTCTCTCGTCTTTCATGGAGGCTGACGCATGAGACCCTGGATGGAATAGGACGCATCCGATACGTGAAGGGCAGGGTAGTCGATGATAGGAGGGTCGGGGGTTCTGTTCTGGCAGCTATTGATGTTTATGCTGCTGAGACCGAACACCATTTCGAGGAGACGGTGGTGGGGGCGGTGGAGGAACATTAGCCGCTGGCTGAGCGTTGGGACTATCCAAGGACTTGCTGAAGATGGCCCTAAAGAGAGTCGAGGTATTAAGACTCAGTGAAAGGGCCCTTTGAGGCTTCTAAATCACAGAATCGAGATATCTCTTGTTCGACCTATCCCGACGGACAAGGGCTGAGGGAGGCAGGAAAGGCCTCAAGAAACAGGTCGAACCGATATAACTCCGCTTTGTTGGACTGTCGCCCTTTCCATCTGTCGTGGATTCAAAGCAAGAGCCACTGATCCAATGGCTATTCCAAATGAACCATCAGATGGTAATAACTTGCAATCGTGTCTGTTTTCCATTGCCCAACCCATCTCCGCAATACCTCTTTTGGCCGTCGTTTGTCGCCAACCACCACGAGCAAACGAGCAAAGCACAGCAATGCGGCAGCGAAGTGGCAACCCCGTCAATTTCCCTGCGTGTCTCTCTTCTTAAAACCAAGCTTTTCTGGTGGGCGCGGGCGGTGCCCAGTGCGACGAGGGGGTGCCTTGTTTGCGGAGCGAGCCGTCCGTGTGCTTCTTCCTGCGGTCTCGGCAATGATTCTTTTCTCAAACAGAGCTGTGGGTGGGCGTCCCAGTCGAGTTTATCCGGACTGCCCTTCGAGGCTGAGGAAATGATCGTCGTCGAGCCTTGCAAAAGCCGAGTGGGAGGAATGAGAGCCATGTTGACAGCGAGAGAATCGGTGACGGCCCTGCATAGTTCGTGGTATGTTACCGAGACCTCTCACTCTTGACTGGCGTTGCTGTCCTCGTTCGGGGATAGCATTATATCGAGTCTGTCGTATGTCTCAAAGGAATTTTACAAGGACACTGTTGGATGAGGCTGTAATGGGCTGGTCAGTTGGGCTAAATGAGCAACGCGGGGCAGTGCTTTTCAGCCTCATCGCCGCATTGCTCTCTTCTCCCGCCTGTGCCTCTCCCCCATCTCTCCATCTTCGCTCTCTGTCATTCTCATTCAGTGTTGTTGTTCTCATCAAGCGCAGCCTCAATGACAGACCCGTTGTCCATTGCTACCGGAGTCGCGGGGCTGGTATCATTGGGGTTGCAAGTGACTGAATCTCTCTTCGAGTTCTACACTGCCTTCAAGGGTCAAGATGCCGATGTGGCTCGCACTACCACAAAGGTCGAGGGTCTCCTGACGATATTCCGGAACCTCGAGGCAGTGCTGCGGGAGCGGACATTTCAGCCGAACGAGCAGGACATCGTCAAGAATATCGAGTCGTGTATTCAAACGTGTAAAGACGCCATTGGAGAACTACAAGACGAGTACAAGAAACTAAGCCGAAGTTCTGCTGGTGATATCAAGGGGTCTCTCAAAGTCGCAGGGCGACGAGTGGCCTACCCATTCCGCAAAAGTACGCTACAGAAAATGGATGAAGACATTGGCGAGATACGTGATAACCTGTCACTGGCACTGGACGTGCTCCAGCTCAAGGATCAAAAGAAGGCCCAAGATGACATCGCCGACCTCAAACTGCTCCTCAGGTATGTAAGTGCATCACAGCTCTCAACGTCAGTCCGCGAGTGGCTCAAAGCCCCGGATGCGAGTGTCAACCACAATGCTGCGTGCGCGAAGCGCCACCCAGGCACCGGCATGTGGTTCATCAATGGATCGTTCTTTACCACATGGCTGAGGCAGGATGGATCCTTCCTCTGGCTGAATGGTCCGGCGGGATGTGGCAAGTCGCTGTTATGCGCCTCTGCCATTCAACATACCTTTCGTCAGAAGCACTCGATGGTGAATGTGGGCATTGCTTTTTTCTACTTCACATTTAGCGACGATTCTAAGCAAGACGAGTCTGCAATGCTACGGGCTCTCCTCTTACAGCTCTCCGGTCAGCTTTCCAACGGTCCAGCACTCCTCGACCGCATACGGACTTCGTCCACGGTTGCGACCCCTCCCACAGACTCTTTACTCGAGCACCTCCGAGATCTGATACGAAGGTTTCATCATGTTTATATCTTGCTGGACGCTCTGGACGAGTGTCCCCGATACGCTCAACGGGACCGGGTCTTGAATGCGTTGCAGGAGATGAGGAAGTGGTCACTGCCAGGATTGCACCTTCTAGTCACTAGCCGAGACGAACCAGACATTCGCGATTCGCTCAACCCGGATCAAAACCAAATGCTGGTCATGAAGAATGCCGGAATTGACCAAGATATCAGCGATTTTATCTCGAGCCAACTTGAGGTCGATCCGAAACTCCGAAGGTGGCAGCAGCATCATGGACGAATCAAAAGTGAGCTCACTGATCGGGCTCAGGGCGTGTAAGTGACTCGCTTTCTGTGACAATATCAGCTTCCAGTTAACAGGCTTGGTTAGATTCCGGTAGGTCGAATGTCAGTTTGAGTCTCTCAGGCGACGTCCTCATAGCGAAAACCACCTCGATCGCTGCCTCCGCTCCTTACCACGAGGTTTGGATGAGACATACGAGCGCATGCTGTATAACATCGATGAAGACTGCGTGGAGGACGCCCGGCGAATTCTAACCCTACTATGCTTCTCCACCCGGCCTCTAAAAATACCAGAGCTTATTGATGGAATTGCTGTCAACCTCAATGAGCCTGCAGGACTGGATCGTCGACGTCGTCTACATGATGCAGACGACATTCGCACTATTTACCCGGGCCTGATCGAGATAAGACTCGAGGAGGTTCATCGGCCATGGGGGAACGGGGGATACGACAATGTCCGAGTGACACCAAATGTCCGCCTGGCTCACTTCTCTGTTCAGGAGTACCTGGAATCTGATCGGAGTACGATGCAAAAGGCAGCGACTTTTGCATTGCAGAGTGGTCCTGCCAACGCAGAGATTGCACAGATATACCTGGTGTACCTCTTGGAGCTCGGACTCTCGCTGGATTGGGCGGATACTACGAGGTTTCCCTTATCTCTTTTAGCTGCTCAGTGTTGGTGCGACCACTACAGAAACGCTGGAAATGCAATGTCCTCCTTGAACGGACTGATATTGCGCTTGTTTCGCCAACAAGACACTCTCCACACCTGGATGAGGTTGAATAACGCAGCCAGGGCACGTTCCTTGGAGATCTGGCCTGAGCTTATGCATGAGCCATGGTCCCCAGCTCTACCAATTCTCTGTGCCACGTTTTTCGGGTTTGATGGAGTTCTACTAGAACTACTGGCCCTTGCAGAGAAGACTAAAGACAGGCGAGATCTGATAAATAGCTTGATTTGACGCCGGCCGCTTTTTGCCTTGGGCGTGGCAGCAGGGAATGGTCATGAAAAGCTGGTGCGGTTGCTCCTCGATGCAGGCGCGGATGTAAGTGCTGGACGCCACGGGGCATTGAGGATAGCATCAGAAAATGGCCATACGAGCGTGGTCAGAATGCTCCTTGATGCTGACCCGCATAGAGGAGGGCTAGATGATGCACTCAAAGAAACAATAAGTCGACATACAGCACACAAAGACATTACGAAGATGCTTCTAGAGGCTGGGGCAGATCCGAATGGCAGTGTGTATGGGTATATGACTCTGCTAGTGCGGGCGTCATTACTAGGCGACAACGAGGCGGTTCAAATACTGCTCAACGCTGGGGCAGATGCCAATGCCGTGGGAAGCAGTGATGAGTCTGCGCTATTGCATGCGGCGCGAAACGGCCATGAGGATGTGGTCAAGTCGCTCTTGAGTGCTGGCGCAGATGTCAACGCTGTATCTAGTCGCTGTACTCCATTACAAGAAGCAGTGGAGTGTTATTGTTCTACGGAAATGTTACAGGTACTGTTAAGCGCTGGAGCAGATGTCAATGCCGTGAGCCTCAGCCGTCGTACCCCTCTACAGGTGGCATCAAGACACGCTTGGCCGGAGGGGGTAGAAATCCTATTGAATGCTGGCGCAGATGTTGACCCCAAGGAGAGTGACAGAACTACTGTGTTACACGAAGCAGTGGACAGTGGCTCTGTGGAAGTGGTGAAGATGCTGTTAAGCGCTGGAGCAGATATTCTGGACTTCAGACATTGGAATCTTCTACACTTGGCATCAAGAGCCGGCCAAGGGGAGATGGTGGAGGTCCTGTTGGATGCTGGTGCAGACATCAACGCCATGGAGAGTTCCCGTACTGCATTACACGAAGCAGCAATGGTTGGCTCTACCGAAGTGGTAGAGATACTGTTGAACACTGGTGCAGACATCAATGCCGTGAGCGGCGTATTTGGTACTCCTCTCGAGAGGGCATCGAGATTCGGCAATTGGGAGGTGGTGGAGGTCCTGCTGAATGCTGGCGCCATCGATGAAGGGGGGAAAGCTCGACAAGCCCTCGAAACGTGATCCCGGTCGAGGAAGATGAGTGGGGCGAGGATTGAGAAGAAGACACATAAACGGTGGCGGCGTTACTAGCTTTTGTTCTCGATCATGCTGGGGTTCTCACTCGAGAGATCCCGAGAGGGAAGAATCTGCACGGTGTATAATGGGAGTGGACTGCTCGCAGGTACTGGAGTGTGACTGTTTTGACGCGCTTTTTCCTTCTGAATCGACACTATCTTGTACAATCGAGACACCATTTCATCAGTTCACGAGTATAACAGGGACTCGAACAACAAAACTTGGTCTCCACAACTGTTCCCACTCCTGCCTGTTTATGGCAAGTAGAGATCCGACGGCCGCCACGGGCAGTCGTGCAAAGCAAAGAGCTTTGGGCGAAGCAGACGAACCCACGCGGGAGGGAGGCGATACCCGAGGAGAGTGAGAACCGCATTGACCGCGAAGAGGGGGATCGAGAGGATGCGCTGGGCATAGTACGTCGGGATGGACCAGAGGACGAGCAGCACAAAGCCGGGAGTGATGGCGGTCGATTTCCACAGGTTCACGCGGGCCAGGACGCCGTCGAGCAACGCGGGATTGGCGCCAGGCCCACGTCGGCGATACCACACGGCCCAGTGTGGGTAGAACCACCACTTGATCAGCAGGCCGTCGTGGAGCACGAAGAACCCGGCCGTCGACGCCGCCCAGATCATCGCCAGCAGCGGCAGCGGCAGCGGCAGCGATAGCAGCAGTGGTGGAGACGAGGACGTCGGGCAGCATAGCTGGACAGCCATGAGCAGGACCGTCGCCATGTGTAGGTTGACCAGCAGCACGCAGGCCGCGGGCAGTCTCGGCTCGCAGCCGATGCGCCGTGCCACGCTCTCCAGGAACGCGTTGTAGTCGACAAGCGTGTGCAGATCCGGGCTGAGGGAGTAGTACGCGCGCGAGGCGGCGGCGTCTCGCTGGGCCCGGGCAGCGTAGTCGGGCGGCAAGTCTCTCTCGCCCCGAAGCAGCTGTGCGATGTATCGGCTCAGCATCTCGGCCATGACGGGTACGCCGCCCTGGTGCGGTCGTGCATAGCCCACGAAGAAGAGACAGTGTCCCAAACCCTCGGGGAAGCAGTGCAGATACCACGAGCGAGGGTTGGGCGAGAGGCTCTGATTTCCTGGCAGACGGATCCAAGGGAACTCGACGCGGAAGCCGGTGCAGAGAACCACGACGTCGAACTCGCGCTGCTGCGTCGTCAATGTGCCGTCGACAACAGCACAAGAGTGAAACTCACAGCTGCGACCGCGAGTCGAGACGGTCGGCGCCACAAGCACCTCAATCTTGCCGCCTTGTAGCGCCTCACACATGCGCTGGTTCTTCGTGACATAGGTGGCTTGGTCGTTCCGTAGAAGGGCAGAGGCGGTGCTGGCCAGCGACATGTGTGAGAGGGTGCGGTTCAGCACGGGCGTGCACCAGAGAAGCCTGCGGAAGACGCCGTACGCAAACACGTTCTGTGCGGCGCTCATGCGGTTGGTCGTGGCGGCCTCGAGGAAGCTGTTGGCGGGGAAATCGACCGTCATGTTTGCGGCCACCTGTTCCATCTCGTCCTTCTTGTTGAGGTAGCGAGGGCCGACGCAGATGGGCCGTCGAAGCCACACCGTGACATGAGGCGACAGTTCTCCCAGCTCGGCGGACAGGTCGGCACCGCTTTCTCCGCCGCCCACCACCAGGACTTTCATCTTCTTCGCCGCCACCTCTTGCTTGAAGGCTTCATCATACTGCGACGAATGGATCATGCGGCCTGTGAACCCCGACAGACATGCGGGTGGTGTATTGGGGAGTCCATTCGACCCGGTGGCGACGATCAGGGCGTCGGCCTGGACACACAGAGTGAAGTGCTCCGAGTCCGTCAAACTTTGAATCTGGACCTCCAACGACCACACCCCGTCCTCTCCCAAGGTGGCGCTGCGCACCTCCGCGTGGTATCTGATATGCCGGTCGAGGTCGAAGTGGCGGGCATATTGGTCGAGGTAGGACAGGTATTCTTGGGCCGTGGAATAATGCAGCCTCGTCGGGTCGGGGAAGTCGGAGAAGGCCATGGCCCAGTTGCTGATGGTGAGGTGCAGGTTCGGGTATGCCGTTGCACTGGCGAACACGCCGCCCAGTCGTCCCGGCCGCTCAAACAGGACCGCCTCGTGTCCGCTCTCGACCATCTCTTTCAGGGCCACGAGGCCGCAGGGGCCTGCGCCTACAATCACCACACGTACCATTGCGCACGACAGGAGCTGAGAGGGGTTGAGACGGTGGAAAAAAATACAGGATAGAGAAAGGCCGTTTGAAGAAAGAAAGAAAGAGACGAGAAAGGGGGTGAGAAAGGGGCAAATGGTAGAACGAACCCGGAGGGATCATCCTGACCTCAAATTTTTTTTTTCTTCGTCGGAGAGGCGATATCGAAACACCGGTTTCAAGTCCTACCCTACCCTACCTCGATGACCGTGTGATGTGACACTCGATCCCGTCGTCCACACAACTCCAAGACGGCCTCGAAGAAGGCGAGAAGCCAATGAGCTGCAAAAAGCAGCTGAACACACACAACGGTGCTAGCGTCGGGATGGCCTTGAGAATCAAGACATTGTCGGAGCGCCGTCATAGCCGACTACCCAAGCCACATGGGGTTTCCTGGCCTGGTTCGACCGCAATCGGTCATTGTCTGTTACTTTTGGTTGTGGCTCTCTGGGGCCTCGTCTCAGTTCAGAAGATTTCACCGCTCTTCCTGGAACTGACGGCAAAGGCGATGTCATTTCACAACCCGAACAGTCCATTTCCCCGACAATGCAGACAAGTAGACGGTGGATTTTCTGCGAGTGCATATGTTGGATGTTGGAGACGAGGCGAGGCGAAACTAGACGAGACGAGACGAGACGAGATGAACAGGTTTCATTGGATGCTGGGCCTGATTCAAAGCTTCGGGGACCCTCTATTTCTGTGGCTCTCGTGGAGACAAGCGATGTTTACTCGGAAGGGATATTCGTGCGACCCGATATTAGGTAGGTATTTTGACCGACATGGCTTTTTCGACTCGACCATGCTTCCATCAGCTCTACGGAGCATTCGTAACTCTGGTAACTCTGGAGAGAAACCCACGTTTGACGTCAACCGCCCCCTCTCTCCACATACTTGTACATGGTCCCAGCAGCTAGTATCTATTGGCCAGCAGTCAGCAGCACCAGTGGCGCGCCTTGATCGGCCTTACTCGTATGTATGTATGAGTGGAGGGACTCGGGGACCGGGGCGTCGCGGGCTAGTTGCCAGTTGCCGGGATGCGTAGGTGCCTGGATCACGGGTGGTTGACCAGGCGCGGCTTTTATATCTTTCTCTCTATTACCTTGTACCTTGTACGTGTGCGGAGGTGGTGGACATTTCGGGAATGGGACATGTACTCGGCCAGTCGCGAGGTGATTATGACCCGATCAGGAGACGAGGCTGGTGCTTTTTCTCCACCAACGATGCACAGGTGCATACATAATACACACTAGACAATACGCAAAGATTCGCAATCCATCTACATAGGTATACAATCTGGCAAATGCGTCATTGTACTTGCTTTTACATAGACTGTCCCTGTCTACTTGCTTGCTGAAGGTACAAACGAGTTGCGACTATAGCTCGCCCGGTTATCTCGCCCCCAAAGTTATTCGACCAGCTAGCCACTCAGTCAATTACCTGTCCAACCGCTAGTCAGATGCGGCCATCAAAAGTGATCCAGTAGTTATTGAGTCGCCAGCCCGTCAGTCGTCAATCGTGACTCGGTCCTCGTCACTCATTGATCATCAGCATTCCCTTACAGGCAATCAAAAGTCCCTCGGTATTGGATCCTGGGTCGCCCCGTCGTGGGTCGTCGTGGGTTGTCGGTGGTCGTCAGCTTACGGGAGATTCGCCGAGCTGGAGTATATCATTGAAGGAATGGAATGGAGGAGCCCTCGCCTGATCTTCTGCCTTGTGGGGTTGGGGTGGGGTGGAGTGGAGTGGAGTGGAACATAGTGCAGTGACGATACGGCTATACGGGTCCTTGGACGCGCGGGTAACGGTACACGGAGTGCGAGCACGCGAGCACACGAGTACTTTTTACTCGTAGATACCTGTTAGATCCCTGCACGAGGCACATGAAGCACCTGCTGTTAATGGCTAGTGTGTAGTGTATAATAGCATAAGGCGAGCTGGGCAGTGTGGCGGCGAGTGGTATGCGAGTAATTGCGCTTGTCGACGTCAGCTACTCATCTACAAAGTACGCCCTTTGTTGTACTCTCATGCTAAAATCATGCTATACTGTACTATACTATACTATGCCGTACTGTACTGTACGTAAATACCTAGTACGTACGTATCTGGGTAAGTCCCCTTGAGGAAGGTGTTCCCGCACTCTAATACCACCTACAGGAGGTGCCCTGTCTACCGAGCATGCATGCTCGATCCTCGATCCTCGATACTCGATACTCGTATCTTCCCCCATCCGGATTCCGGTCCAGACCCAGGGCGGAGTCTGCATGGCATTCGCATTGCGTGTCTATCTGGACCAGTGTCCACTCGTGCGCGTGACTCGACAGGTAGGTATGTATTCTCTAGGCATGCAAGGCGTTCGCTCAACACGAGTACCAGGCACCGGGCCCCAGGCACCAGATGTAGAAGTGTCTAGGTGTCGGTGTCGGTGTTGGCCAAGTGCTCCTCGCCTCCAAATTTGCATGCCTACACTCCTCCCTGGTATATTCGCGTGATCGCCGTGGCCCGTAATGACGTTTCCGTGCGCGAAGGTCTTTGTTGAGATCGGCGAGCCGGTCGGTCAGTCAGTCAGTCAGTCGCACTCTACCGCCCTCTGCCGTCATATACATGATATCACTGGGTAGGTAGGTAGGTTACATAGGTAGCATCGGATCACCCATGTTCATGCCAGAGCGATACTCGTCCTAACTGGTGTACTTGAAACATGTCCCCCTTCAATACTGGCGAGTCTGCTGCACAGCTCCGCGCGGTGTTGGCACTCCTCGCCACCGCGGTGGAGAATCTCGCGTGTGAATGGGAATCGTCGCCTTCAGGGAATGGAGTTGTCGATGCCAATATCGAGACTGCTGTCCCCGATACCAGCACCGTATCGCATGCCGAGCACGACGCCGTCAAGACCATCCTCGCCGCGCTGGGCTCGATAGAGAGCCTCGTGCTCGACCCGCACACGCGCCTGCTCAACCTATCCATGTCGTACCTCATCGCGCGAGCGTTGCATGTCGTCGCGGATCATCGCGTGGCCGAGTTGCTCACCCTGAACCACAACAAGCCCGAGGCCCGGGGAGTCAGCGCCGAAGACCTCGCGAGGACGACCGGCCTTGAGCAAGGGAAGTTATGTATGTATCCCTCCCCCCCCCCCCCCCCCCCCCGGGGTTGCGCCTCTGTCTACCCGCGACAGAGAAGGACAAATCTATTGACGACAAAGGACTCGCTGAACAAAAGTACGTCAACAGGCCGAGTCATGCGAACATTGACGTCGCACCATGTCTTTGAAGAGGTCGAGGATGGTCGGTTCGCCAACAACCGCATCTCCCACGCACTTGTTGGAGACGCGGCGTTTCAAGCAAATATCCTCCTCAAGTAAGTCCTCTCAGTTTCACTCTTTGCTCGTAGCTACGGAAACCGTAAAAGAAGGGGGATGACAAAGAGTTTAAAAAGGAGGTCAGTTGGTAAGGCATCAGGGCGACTGGGAGGGCCGTCCCGGGTATGCACGGACCTAGACACCGTTCCTAATCGTTCTTTTAATGTAGGGGCCAGCTCCAGTACGCCGCCAGCGAGTGTCTGCCGCAAGTTCTGGCGAACCCTGCTACTCGGAATAGCTACGACCCGCGGAAAACGGCGTTTCAGCAGGCCGTCGGCACGAAACTGTCCCTGTTCGACTGGATGAACGAAACGGTGCTTGAGTCGGAGGTGGATTGGCGGCCACGGAGTCGGCAGAGGCATCCCCTTGAAGGCGACGAGGAGGGACAGGGGGACGGTGATGGACAGGACGGACCATCCAGACCGCACTTATCCGGCCAGAAGACGGTGCCCCGGCCGGAAAAGAATCTCTTCAACCTCGCAATCAGCGGCCAGGTCAGAGGCACTGAAAAGTATTGCGTGTTGGACTTCCCCTGGGAGGATCTGCCGAATGGCGCGACGGTCGTGGATGTTGGTGGCGGGATTGGTAGGTTTTTCATTCAATCTCACCATCCTGTGCGCGGGTGTTTTAGGTGTGTATCTTGGTGGCTGATGGAGGCGGACAGGTTCATTCTGCATGCAACTCCATGCGCACCACGCTCATCTCAACCTCGTCGTCCAAGACAAGCCACATGTGATTCAGCAAGGCCTGGCGCTGTGGAAAACCAAACATCACTCTGCGCTTGTCGAAGGGAGAGTCCACCTAACGCCGCATGACTTTTTTAAGAAGAACCCCGTGGTGGGCGCCGAGATCTACTGGTTGCGATATATCATGTAAGTACAAGCGCCGAGGACTTCTCACACTGTGCCAATTTCCTCTCTCTTGCAGCTGATACATATACTTATTTCGTACGCATGCATCCTCAGCCACGACTGGGCCGATGACGACGCAATCGCGATCCTCTCGCGAGTGGCCGACTCCATGACTCCAACCTCTCGTGTGTTGATTGCCGAGACGCTGATGCGCACCACGGTCCCCGCGGACAAATTCAGGTCAGCGGCGACCCCGTTGCTGGCTAATTACGGCGTGGCCATGGCGCCCGCGCACATGATGGACCTGAACATGATGATGATGACGAACGGGCGGGAGAGGACGCCGGCCGAATTTGACAGGATCGTGCAGGCGGCTGGGATGGTGGTGGACAGGGTTTGGGATTGTCGCGGGCCCTTGAGTATTGTTGACTGTCGTCTGGCTTGACGCATTTGCATTGCAAAGTGCCGCATTGAAAAGATGCGGGAATGCCTCCGTTTCCTTTTGATGGAGAACATGAAAAGGTTCGGCCCGTAACGATTGCTTGGCAATGATGTCGCCAAATGGACGGCGAGCCAGGTGACAAAACAAGTGGCACAGCGAAGTAATGACCAAAATACTCTGAGGTTATTCTCCCCTTTACTCGAAATTTTAAGTGTAAAACTCTGGATTTTTTCTCCTTGACACAATAACGAGTATATAAGCTATATAATGATACTAATATTAAACAATAATTCCTAATAAATGGTGGTAGAAAAGCATCTCAGGATTCTATTCGGGTAGTATAGTACGGTCTGACTAGGTATTTAGCACAGGATGTTGTCACTTATTTTGTCAACTGGCTCGACGGAGACCAGCCTTCCGGAACTTTAAATGGCCATCTGAGGTATTTGATTGGTTCGAGCGTCAGCGCCAAGAGGATCAATCAGGACTTGCCCATGGTTACACCGTGTTTGAGACAATTTCCCCTTCTCCCTTCTTGCTCTCTTATATAACTCTACCAGCTCCATCGTCCGCCAGGCCTGCGACCATTTCTGCGTGCACCTACCGAGTGCTCTCTACCGAGGCTAGCAAAGGGAACTTGAGACTGTCGAGATCCCCAGCGGAGCGAGAATCCACATAACATTGCCTTCCAATCACCCAAATTTCCGTGGTTCAGGACAAGAAGGAATGTGTGCGCGGTTCGACGTCTACTTAGCATGATCGTATCTCAAGTCATAGCGGCCGTACAGGCTGCCTTGGCTCGTGAGAAGATTGTGTTTTGCGTTGTCGAAGAAGTTGCGTTGAATTACTACAATGTGCCTCGGATACTCAATGTGAGTCCTATGTGACAGAAACAAAAAGAAGCTTAACTTATTATACTAGACCCTGGGTATTTGTGTCCCGCATTCGCAGCTAGATGCTGCCACCAAGCTGATCAATGCCCACAACGATGTTTTCGTACGCACAGCATGGACCGATCAACACGCTGACTGGAAGAAGCCATATCCTCGCTTTGAAGCATTTATTGAAGAAGACTACCTGACTCTTGTCATATTTCCTGACACGCATTTCCACCTTCAACCGCTGAAGCATTCAATAGTTGACCGTTCTGCATACAGTTCAGCTCGTCCTTTCTTTAGCAACGAGTTCAACTTCTCCACCGATATCTCCGAGCTATCCAGGATCCCTATCCCTCGTCTGTCATCGCTCTTGCAGGGACTGCTGAGGAGGTTTTGTGAAACGGAAGATATCTACTGTGCTGTCTGCGTGGAGCAACTGGTTGATGGAATGGTGTTGAGTGAAGCCTGGTGCAACACGCATCTCGACCCTGGTCGAGAAGAAGAGCTGAAATACGTGATCGGCGTGATAGGAACCAGGCCACAACGTCAAAATCTATTTTTGGAGAGCGATTATCTCTGTCAAGATGAACGAGAATTGATGAAGATCCCAGGTACGCAAGAGCCGCTTCACGACCGGGAAACAAGCAGCCAAAACGGTCGATCTTGGAAATCAGCCTTTCAACGGGCTTGCTTAGTCGCCCTCGCTCTTTTCCGAAGCACAATATCTCGCCTGGCACCCCACAAACACTCGGTATCACTTCAATATATGTCAGATCTTCATCTGGAGAGCCAGCAAACTTACGACTTTGAGATCCCTCGAGCGTCGCCGTATTTAGTCCTGGCAGGCGATATTGGCCGTCTCAAGGACTATGGCAAATACCTGGAGTTTCTCACCATACAATGTCAACGGTTTTGGCGGGTTTTTCTCGTCCTTGGAAACCACGAATTCTATGGCATCCTCAGACAGGAAGGGCTCGAAGCGGCCCGGTCGTTGGAGCAAGAGCCATGTCTAGGGGGCAAACTGACGGTTTTGAACAGAACCATGTTCCGCCTGAATCGAAGAATAGCCATCCTCGGATGCACGTTGCACACGTCTATACCAAGCGAGTCCGAGTTGTGGGTCAGAATGAAAGTTGCGGATTTCAGCCACATCGGTGACTGGACTGTGGAAAGCCACAACGCAGAACACTACCGAGATACTGAATGGCTCAGGACATGCGTACAGGACGTTACGCAAGCAAATTCGGAAAGCAAGATCCTTGTCGTTACGCACCATGCTCCAGCCCTCAAAAACACATGCGACCCGAAATATTTGTCCAACCCTTGGAATTCTGCTTTTTGTTCCGACATCCTCAAATCTCAAATTCCTCATTGGAGTGGCGCCAAAAGCATTCGATGCTGGATATTTGGTCACACACACTGGTCCACCCAATTTTTGTATCGTGGCACCGCCGTCTGCAGCAATCAACGAGGGGTCCCGCGAGTCCAGCAAGTCCCGCAACAGCTGAAGACGCAAAATGAGATCTGGCTGAAGAGAATTTTGCCCCGTGGCTGTAGACAGAGTCAAAAGGAATTCCTGGTGACAAGGTCGGTCAACCTATAGGTCATACACGAGCCACTATTCCAACATGGCTTTTTGACAAAGGAACGGAGGAGGATGCATGGAGGTGATCTCGAGGCTTCCTGCTTGTTCGACTGCCTCTTTGACATCGATACCAAGATTGCTAAACACCTTGGACAGCGAAGGGTACCTCTTGATGGCCTTGCCAACATCCTGAATGTTGATTTCATGCACGTGCTCTCGGAGAGTCGACTCGAAATGAGCGTGCACGTACTCGATGTCGTTGCTGTCGGAGACTTTGGACCGGTTTGCTGCCGCGTTGACCTTTCCCTTGAAAATGTACACGATTTCCAACACGCGCATTGAATAACCTCGAACCGGGACTGTTCGAGTTGCAATGCTCTGCATCATGGATTTGATGGCCTCGGTGCCCACCGAAGCTTTGGTGGTTGCTTCCTTAATCAGTGACATGGTACAACTTTGGAAACTCCAGGCTTACAGGGAAACATCTCCACCAGGACATTTTCCGTCTTCTCCCCTACGAGGAAAGCGATGTAGTCTTCTCTCTGACCAGGAATTTGATGCCAACCGGGCTGATCCGAGAAAACCCGGGCGATGTCGTCCTTTTCGGCGCCCACGAGGCAGTCAATGTCCTTTGTGCCACGATCGCAACCAATTACATTGATGGCCCAGCCCCCGAAACACCCATATCCGATCCCGTTATCTGTCAAGACTTTATCCAGGTCGACGGCAGCCTGATAGAGTCTCATTTCTTTCGCCATGATTCAATCTTCTCCAAAAGGTTCGAGTTGGCCCAGCTCGAAACTCTTCAGGATGGAACAGAGTCTCTCCTTTTACATACCGACGACCGCCCTGCACTCTTTAATGGATATGCAATGCTCACGGGCCTGGAGGAGTTGGTCATTGGGGGGGCGGTGTAGCATGGAGTACGAGAAAGTAAAATACGTGTCAAAAGCTGTGCAACATACCCACATCCGCAAAGGCATGCAAGGATGGGTACAACGCATGCATATGTTGATGCTACAGTCTTATTCGGCGACTGCCTGGTCGTATAACATGACGGTCTCACAGCCATGCGTATGTGTTACCTCTGCGAAAAATTCTGTGTTGCCCTGCATGCAGGTTCCGCTGCCCAACCGTGGCGAGGTCGTTCGGAGCTGTCTGTCAGTCTTGTCTGTCAGTCTGATGGCCCGATGAGGCTGAAAATACCCCTTTTAGCTCAGTGAGGGTTGGCGTTGGTCCAGCCCTATTCGGTCGTATGACTGGGTTGACGTCTCCAAGCCTCCTCGAAGCAGATCCTTCATCGGGCAAGACCAATTGATACCCTCTCCTCGACGACCCCCTTGTATCCGTCAGGTTCAGCGTTTCCCCCACCCGTATCCGGTCATCGGCACGGCTTCTACTCTGGTCAAAGTCGTACCTACGTAGCCACGTAGCCTGACTGACGAAACGGAGAAGCTGAACCCCTTTTGATAGTGATGATAATAACAATAACAATAACAACAACAACAACAACAACAACAACAATAATAATAATAATAATAATAATAATATATCGCGAGATGACGTCAATGCGGATGGGTGAGAGAGAGAGAAGGGGGGGGGGGGGGGGGAGAGAGCGTGTGTAAGCAGGGGTTAGGAATCTCTTTTGACCCTACGTAGAATGATGGCTATGACTATGGTAAATATACCGAACGGGTGGGTGGTCGCTCATCCGACCTAGCCCTGACTCAACATTGACTCGTGCCCATCTGGGGCGTGGGCGATGAAGGGTGGCACGGTGGGTGAGGTTCCAGGGGAGGAACCTACAAAGGGGAGATGGGGATGGAGGTATATTAGAGACTGTTTCATGATTTCGGAAGAGATAAACAGTCGGCAAAGGGTTGGGATAAAAGGGAGCCAGGACTGTCGCTTGCTATCCCTTTGATCTACTATGAGGGCATAATAGTCAATACTGTGCACGGGCACAATAGGTAGGTACAGAGAGAACACGCCCAGTCATGTCATGTCATGATCGCGAGCCTAGCCTAGCCTAGCCTAGCTTAGCCCAGCCTACAAACTCCTTCTGGTGTTCAACCCCCCAACTCGACCGCCTCCCCCCTCTTCAGCGGACCAAAACACTTCTTCCACAGCTCATTCTCCTCGCCCAGAAAGTAGTGCAGGTCCACCTCGTGCATGCCCGCCTCGTCGTCGTCCCCCCGCATCCCCTCCAGCTGGGCAATCAGGTTTCCGAGACCAAACGCCTTGCCGACGCTCTGGGTCGTGCCGGCCTCGAGCATGACGTGCACCACGTGCACGTGCAGGTGGTAGTACGTGGGCTGGTAGTGCAGGTAGCACTTGATCTCGTCGGGGTCGAGCTGCTCGGCGTGGCCCTGGCGCGGCGGGAAGACATTGGCAATCACGGCCGCGACGATCTGTTCGCGCATGGCCTTGAGCCAGGGGACGTGCTTCCGTCTCAGGTCGCGCAGGGACCAGATGTCCCGTCGCTGCACGAGCGCGAGCAGGTGCATGCCCTCGACGGTTTTGCGGTCCCAGTTCAGGTCCGGCAGCAGGAGGAAGCCCGTGTTGGCGCGAGAGTCCCAGTCGACTCGGGCGATGACGTCTTCTTGCTCCGTGCGGCCCTCGAGGATGTTGAACACCCAGTCGAGTCGGCCCGCGGCGCGTTGGCTGGCTATGTACGGCCTTATGTGCGTGGCGTAGATGTGCGGTGTTTCCGTGACCATGCGCACACGCTGCGCCGAGTATTTCCGTATATGCTGTGGCGAGCACGGGTAGATCATGTTGAGTTTAAAGTCTGGGATGATCGGGGGCGATGAGGTCGTAGATGGTGACGTTGACGAGGCGTCGGTGGAAGATGGAGATGATGCGTCTATTGACCGGTTCGCCATGTACCACCTGTAAATGTCGTTGGCGCCCAGGTTGGTGGTGTTGATGAGAGATTTCAGGAGCGACGACACGAGCTCCGGCTCCGTGGGGAACGCCGCCCGTTCAAGCGTGATGAGCGCTGGCCGGCCAGCGATGCTGCCGAGCAGAGAGATCCGTCGTCCATTCTGGTCTGGCCCGAGATCTCGGTCAGAACGGATGTGCGCGAGAGTAGAATGCAAATAACATGTCAAGGGTTGAGCAAATCAATAGCGCATCCGACTCAGATGCCGGCTCGCCGACGAAAACTGGGCGCATCTCTCTCTCTCTCTCACCTTGGTTGAGAACCCTCTCGAGCTGGAACTGGGGCACAAGCGCCTCGGCCTCGGCCTTGGTTTCCGCCTGCGGCGTGGACATGACACATTACCTGGTGAGTAATATCTCGATAACGGCACTCCAGAGCTACAGCTCATGCACCCGTCCCTCGACGAAGACGGGGTAAAGCCCCAGGATCTGATCTGATCTGAACCGACTTTGGTATCTTCGAGGGACGCAGATTGTTGCTTCAATCCTTGAGCTGCAACAACGGGGAACACGAGGGTGACTTGATGGTGGAAGATGTCGTGGTCAAGCAAGACATTGCTCCAAATGTTTTCGCTGTTTGATATTTGCGCAAACCGGCCAAACTGTGTTACCTTCCGAGGTCGTCAAAGATGAAAAAGGGCCCGGCGGTGTGATGCCAAGCAACGACCTCGCAAGGCGCAGCCTGATGATGACGTCGCTGCAAGGCTGATTCCACGGCTTTCTTGGCAAGGGATGGAGTTACGAGGCTGAGAAAAAGTTATGTACAGGCATTTGGCATTTGTGATTCAGTAATGTCTCGATAAAGGAAAAGCGAGATTATAATTCCATACTACGCCGCATTCTCTTGTCCGGATCTAATGCTTTTCCGTCCATTACCTTCTATAGATGAAAGAGACTTTGTCCCAGGCTTTGCTCGGCTGCCTCACATCATACCGAAACACTCTCTCACATTCCTTCTGGAGAAGTTTCGACATCTTTCAACGCCTGTCCACCACCTCGAGTTACAAACGAACCGGGAATTTCCTCCTGATTCTCCCGCCATACCTAAGAGCAGATTAGCGAAGGCGATCGTGGTGTTTCCAGAAGTGTTCTACCTGTAAAACGCCAACGGAATGGGAACCATGGCCAGAGCCACGAACCCTAACAGGGTATTCCCCCAGCCCAAGCCTAGGTTCTGGTAGAGCGGTGGCGCCGCCAGGGGCAAGAAAGCTGCAAAGAGCGAGCGCATGACGGTCGGAGCGGCAATGGCGGAGGCCGCATGCATGGGGAAGGCGTCGACCATGTAGGTCTGGAAGGGGAGGAAGATGCCGAACATGCCAATACCGAAGGGCACGGTGCCGGCGATGGCCGAGAACCTGATCAGAAATGTGAATCACCGTTGCACACGCACACACACACACACACCGCTACTCCTCTTCGGTGGAACGTACCAGTGGACCCGTTTGTCTGTTACCCAGCCATACCAGATCAGAGATATCGGCAGCATGATCCCACAATATGTTGTCGTGGAGAGTCGCATTTCAGCTGAACATGGTCAGCCTGGCATCTGCACGTATAGAAGCAGCAAGGGACCTTACGTTCAAACACGCCGTTGTTTTCCTTCATGAGCTTCACGACTTGTGCGTCGTTGTACTTGATCAGAGCAAACAATGCCGCCTATACAGTGGCGCCGTTAGGAGAATACCTCGATAGAGGGTCAAGCGGGCAAGGGGCGCACAAATGTTCCAAATCCAACTGTGCACACTGTTAGATTCCAGCTCGTGGCTATTGGTATGGGAATTAAGCGGCAAACTCACGTCCAAGATAAGAGAGACCGGTGAGCTGAAGAGACCAGCCGTAGGATTCTTGAAATACAGTCGGAAGGGTGGTGAACATGAGGTCTGCAGCACGGTCAGTCAAGAAGCAAGAGATGTGTCGACGACAGCAGAGTCTGAAGCACTCACATAACAAGCCATAGGCAGTGGCAACATAGATGCTAATGAACAAGACGATCGGGGATTTGACCAGGAGCTAAACTCAACCATCAGCCAGCCATCGAATTACCAACTCGACACGACTTAACTTCAACGGCCTGATCAGGCTGACTTTCAACAGCTCGTGTGCGCTCATGCGGTGTTGAACAGCCGACACCAGCTCTGGTCGACCCAGCGTCTTCCTCAGCTTTCGGACCTTTCGCTCCAGGAGGACGACAGCGTTGGATTCGCGCATAAAGAGGGTGAGGACTGCGGAGGTCGATCCGGCACAAAGCACCAGGATCCAGTATGCCTTGCATCGGTGTCAATTGAACGTGCCCGAGCCTTTTAGCAAGAGACTAGGGGAGCATACCCATCGCCAGGTGAGATACTCGGTGATGAACCCTCCGCAAATTGGTCCCACTGCGAATCGCATCAGTATTATCCACGCGCAGAATCTGGCAGAGATTTGCTTCGTACCGATAGGACCAAGCGATTGGCTCCCGGCAATGATGGCCGAGCCAAAAGCTCGTCTCTCCACAGGATAGAGATCTCCCACCACGGCCGGCGAGATGGTGATGATGGCCGATCCGCCTAGTCCAGCCAGGAAGCGCATGACGATGAGACTCGCCATGTCGGGCGCGAAGCCACATCCCAAGAGCCATGCTACAAGCATCCAGGAAGAGATCATGACCACAGGATATCGACCGTAGATTTCCGAGAGAGGTGCCAGGAACAGGGGGCCTACGGCGTACCCGAGGACGTAGATGGTGATCATGAGAGATCCGAGCACTCGAGACGACTCGTGGAGGTCTTTCATTGTACTTTCTATACTTGGAGCGCATAGTGAGGAAGCCATGGGACTGCAGACACCGGTAAGCACAGCTCTTTGTCCCATCTGGAAGTCGACACTCTTTCCGTCTCGAGTAACACACCTGATAGTCGCCATGGTGGCCACCTGCACCATCAAAAAGCCCCTTTTCTTCCGTTTCCAATTCCTGCAAACTTCAGGTCAACACTCCATCCCCCACCCACTTCAGCGGTATAGGGCGGCTCCTCACTTGGGGTTAGCAGGATCGTCCACCGCGTCCCAGCCGACAATGTCTCTCTCCAAATCCATCAACGGTATCGAGTTGTGTGATGAAGGCGTCCCTGCCACGGGCACCTCGACGGCCTTCTCTGGCAATTCGAAGGGGCCGTCTGGGGCGGCGACACCGAGAGCGTGGACATCTTGGGGATCGTGACATTCGGCCTGAGAGACGTCTGGCTGGCCTTCGGCCTTGGTCATTCTCATTCTGGGTGGTGTATCGACACCAGCAACCCACAGACCTTCGTATTTCTTCTTGGGGAGAAAGTCATTCTTAACCCACCCACCGAGTCATGCAGTGTTTTTCCCATCTGGCGCCATCCTGTCTTGGGCTTGATGTATCGATCAAAGAAATGCAGAGTCAGTGTCCCTTTTTTCCCCCCATCTGTGGGTTTCCTCGGTATTTACTGACCGTCGTGATTGGTAGAGACGATGAAGCCTGCAAATTAAGCCTCGGTTGGAAGTGTCGAGTCTCCAATTATGGACTTTTGGACGGGTGTCGAAACATGTCGCAATAATAGACCCTCAGGCACTCAAAGACCGGAGTTGATTCTCCGCAATGCCGATTGGTCTTGCAGTGCCGCTTCAGCCGTTCGTGCTGGCAGGCTGGCTTTTAGACTGCAATGAGCGTTTGCTTCAAAAGTCCGAGACCGAAGTGATGCAATTCGATAAGCAAGAAGAGGAAATATGGCGCGAAGGCTGCAAAGACAAGGAAAGCGGCACAAGACGATGCACGCTTGGGCTTGAAGAGCTAGCTGAATTTTTTTAAAAAAAAAGGGCTTGGAATTGGTGTTTATCTGTTGCTCACAATGAGACGAAATCACATTGTGAGAGAAGCAACAATACCCTTCGAACTACTATTCAATTCGAGGTCACCCTCTCACTCAACATAATCCCAATTCAACGTTCATCTCTACACTCTGCCTGGCGCCATTGACATTGCAGCGGAGCGTGTTTGCTGAGAGGACAGCCATGTCTGGGAATGCAGTGCGATGCTGAATGTGGTGGATCGTAGACGCAACGGCGAATAAAACTCGAATCAAGTCTGATATTGGCTCGAGACTGAGCGACACGCTCTGTGGGGTAGTTTGCCGGGGTGGGAGAGTGGAATTGTTGCAAGAATGTACGCCACACAGACATCCAAGATGCCGTGTTTCTAACTGGTCTTGAGCTCCAAGCGTCTTGAATAACATGTATCAGCATTCTGGAGGGCCTGGGATTGGAAGGTGAGTTGGTCTGTACATGTCATTGTCTGGGCGCATCCTTGAGAGATGTATCATTGCAGCCAGGTACCCCGGTGTCCCAGGAATGATTGCAGCACTCGTTGAGGATCCATTGTGGAAAACAAGAGAAGCGGATCTATCGAGACTTTAGTACTTGGTCACCTCGAAGAAGCGTCCAACCGAGTTTTCTTACTCATGGTCAGGGGATAGTGAGAGTCCGACTCCTGTGGACAGGAGCCGAGGACGCATTTTGTGCTTGTACAAAGATAATTTGGGAGATAATTCTTCTCCGGGGCTACATTCCGAAGCGCGAGATATCTGTACGAGTACACAAGTACATACAGACGGCGAGGTCGACGGTTCAGGGCTGTGCAGAGTGAGCGGCCTTTGTACTGGCCAGTCGAAACCGTACAGCCTCGCTGGGCTTTTGTTGCCGCGCGCTTCGTAAGCTACATCATCAAAATCCGATTTCGCAGAAGCTTCTCTTCGCCCAAAGCTCGATCGAGTACCATCACCCCGACCAAAGCGTCAATGACTTCCTTGCTCTCCGCGTCGGTCGCGACTTCCTTCTTCAGGTCACACGTTGGACGAAACTCTCCAATCTTGTATTGAGTGTCCAGTTTGGCGGAAAAGTCGATCAAGGGATATGCCGACAATTGGGGAGTGCTGGACTTCCAGAGGCAGCGCCAGAGCAAAACCACCCAGAGAAAGGCAACCACGGTCGTTTGGAGGACAAGGTAGACGAGAAAGGCCGCTTGGTTGAGCACGATCTTGTCGAGGGGGTTGGACAGGGAAGCAGAGGTGTGGAACTCGGGCGGAAGTGATTCTGCCGTGGAACCACCCCCTTTGATGCTGAACTGCCAGATCGGGAAGGCGAGGATGCTCTCCAGCGACGGATACGTGATGATGGACCACTCATCGTAGTTTGCCCCTGGTGCCGCATTCGAGAACAAGAAAATAAGGGAGGACGCTGGTGGCAGCCCCTGTGCGGTGGAGTTCAGAAGCCAATCCAGCGCTGAGCCCAGCGCGCCGACGTCGACCTCGTGCACTGCCGGCTTTCCGACATCCGCAATAGACAGGATGCTGTTATTCCCCCTGGAACAAGCTGTCGAAGTGCTGAGACCGTACACCGTCAGGGTCGTAGTGAGGCTGAATGGAACGCGAGACGTGATACAACTTCCCTCACGGACCTCGGAGCATAAAAACAAACCTAGCCACAGATCGAGACCAGATTAGCACACGAGAGGGATCTGTGGGTGCGAGGGGGGGTTTTTTTTCACACCCACCAGCAATAGTTGACTCAGGGTGCAGCTTGCTCTTTGCCAAACACACCATCAAGCCATATCGGACCCCGTTCTCATGGTAAACGGTGCAGTCCTGGGGGGAAAATGTGTCACCGATACCTAGACCGCGCATAAAGTCCAATTGTATCGCGGGTGATACGCCAATATTGACGACGGCGTCAAGTGGCGCATTCCTTGGGAATGGAGGTTGCAAGGACCAAAGTGCGCCTGGAAAGATGTACGAGTCGCAATGTCCGGAGCATGCCACGGGCGGCGACCTTACGGAGAATTGAGTATTGGTGACAAAGTTGTATGAGTAGGCCAGGACCTGATATGTGATGGTCCCGTGAAAAGTACCTATCATCTGCCTCGCCAATGATCCGTTGAACAGCCCCACGCCAGCCGTAGCACTGAATGTGTAGTAAGGATCGTAGACTGTCGCGACTTTGGTTTTGACTAGACAGTCGACGTGAGCGAAATGGACAGTGGGAGATATGCGCCGAGGATGACAAACTGAATAAGACGATTCCAGCGACCCAAGAACTTGCCATGAGAATGAGCCTGTTCAGCGTAAGGGTAAGGGGGTGTCGGGCTGCCTAGAGGACTGTACTGACCTCACCACCACCCACACTCGATCCCAATCTTTCCATCTTCCCCTCCGGATCACTTGGTACATACCAGGAAAGCCGGTAGTTGGGGAAATGCTGAGAAAGCTCAGAAGGCGCAGTCCGTCTCTTCGACTGCACAAGGTCCACTGGATGACTTCGAGGGTATAGTTGAGGAGAAACGAGGTTGAGGCAGAGGTCAAGCTTTGTAAGATTCTCAAAACGGCGATCGCTGAGCTGAATCTCTTCACGACCAGAGAGATCGAGGTGGCCGACGTCGAGTATGAGCCGAATAGAGCGGTCATGATGAAGAATGCTGTCGTGACAGCTGTCAGGACAAAGTGGAACAATTTATCCTTGACAGCTGTTGAAGGCATGGCCGCGGTCCAACGTCCAACGTGCTTGTGAATGAAGTATAGAGACTTGTCCGTCACCAAGTGTTTGTGATGCTAGCGAGTTCTTTTTCACCAAAAGTCCTTTGAGACGTGCGAGCAGTGGTCCGTAGGATATGATGTTTGGTTTTGAAAGGAGGAGGGAACCTACTGGCCGAGTGCCCAGCATCAGCGGTTTACATGTGGTCTTTTCGACACAAACGTCCACGTGGCAACGAGTTCTGCGTGTCTCAGGAGATAAATGCATGATGGCTTCTTTTTGATTATCAGTTCTGCCTTCAGTCGTACAAGATCACCTTGGCCGAGCATCATCTTTCGATTTGTGCATTCGATTGTGACCAACTCTGTGGCCAGCGCAAGCGAATACGAATTTTCGCCTTGATCGATTGGGTGGACTTTTGGAGAGTTGGTGGTGTGAGGAGCGAGAGAGGCGACATAGTAAGGCTGAAGCTGAGGTCAATCATGAATGCAAGCAAATATCGACCTCTGTGCGGCAAATCGACGTGAGAGAAGGTATAAGACCATCCGGCATGTGCTCCCATCTGTGTGAACCCTTGGAGATAACGAGCACTCAACCTCACCTTGACCAATATGTTCGATATGCTGTCTTTCGGTGTCCTTCCTCTTGCGACCATCGTATCTGGTGCCAGTGCAAGCGCTGTTCCGACTTATTCAACGGCCACCGCGACGATTGCCTCAACTGGCTTATCAGGTTGGCCTCCGTTGTACGCCACCATGCCTGGATCCTCTCTGATCCCCAGAGCTGTTGACGACTTGAACAATGCATGTTTATGCGAATTCGATTGTCCATCCAATCAATACTGCGCATACGACAATAAGAATATGGCAATTGCCTGCTGCGCGGTGGATAGCGATGGGGAATTCGTTTCCGATTGTGCCATCCCAACCAAATGTGTCGATCAGGCTGAAAGCAGCTTGTCTTGTGCCACGACTGGATGTTCCAGCAAAACGGCCATCTGGTAGAATATCCCCCTTTCCAAGGTCTTCCTACTGTCCATATACTAACGGATAAATCCTAACGACATTAGCGGTGAGGATCAGGATTATCCGAAATGTATGACGTACAAAATAAATCACAACCAAGACAACTATACCACGTTTCGCTGCGGTCAGGTCGACACGGTGACCACAGCACACTTTGCCACGACCTATTCCTCGACTATCGTCAACCCTGTCGTGGTATCCACTGGAACGATCACAGAAATTTCTGTTGTCACCGTGGTAGCATGTTCTTAACCAGCAACAATCTTTAATCGTGTGGACGCCCCCCTAAGAGATTGGGGGGGAGGGGGGGGGGAAGCAACGCCGAGTCGTTATACCTGTATGAAATAGGTCATTGACAATTCTGGAGAAAAAGTTCGAGGCATGTAGGACTGTAACAATCATCAACCAAGTACTCGAGAGTCTCATCTGAATCCATCAGGCAGCTACCAGGCAGCTACCAGGGAGTCATCTGGATGCCGCCAGGAAGCAACAAGTGACACTACGTCAGCTCAGCCTCGTTTGTAGATGCCATTCATGTATCTCGAACATTCCTCTTGTCTACTTTTCTACAGCAGGTCAAGCAAACCCTTTAGAGCCCATCACGTACCTAGGGCATGGGTACCAGCAATAGCGCAAAACACGACATTTGCGATCACTGTAAAGACCTGTCCATAGACATCCTCTCTGATGAGACGACATTGGAGAACCAATGGGCAACTCTTGATCCTCTGCATGCCTCGATATCATATACAAACAAACACAAAAACGGATCCATATTGCTCCTCTCACAATCAGCAACGAAATGCCAGACGTGTGAGCTGATGACAAAGGAACTCGACGAGTTGCAAAAACCCCCATTCAGAGTCGATCTATTCCATAGTGCCAGACTGAAAGATTCCCCTATCAAGGTTCCGGTGGTAGAGGTCCTGGAACACCGTGTCGTTGAAGAGGATCCAAAAATGGATGAACCGACCTCCCGGTCCGTCATGTTTGGGCCATCGCCAGGGTCGACTTATGGACGAGTGAAAGCGGGCGGAAAAATTCTTGTCTGGGGCATGCTGCAAAGAGTGACACTGGACCTGTCATCTCATCTTGGCGTGAGGAAGAGAGATTATGAAGAAATGTGGTGTTGCCGAGGGGTTCGTGAATGGAGAGAACGTCCTTTGTATACTGGACGAGGTTGAGCAATTCGACAAGAGTCTGTATCCCTGCTGGTGCCTTCACATGGTCGCCTACGACAAAGATGGCAGGGAAGCGGATGCGTTTCTGCTGCTGGACAGACTGGACCAGTCATGACCGAATACCTTTTCTCGAATCGGCATGGCTGAGACGGACAAAGAGGAAGAGGACTTGTTGTGCTCTCTCTTATGACCAGCGGGTCTAAGAAAGAGAGCTCGCAATGGTGTTAACTTGGGCCCAAGACCGACAGAGATACAAGAGGGGCTGTGAGAGGAGAGCTCACGGACGTCGCCGCACTCCTCCTGTATTCAGATCTATAGAGACGATCGCCTGAACCCAGCGAGCCAGATTCTACATACATACTGGCGAGATGGGTCGTGATTCATCGCCTGCCGAAGATTAAGCACCAACCGCACCGTACAGCGAGCCCTACATGGTCAATTTGTAGGACCAATTCCATGTTTCCTTCATTCATGTCAGGACGTCCTTTAACATGTGACGCTAAGATCAAGCAACCCGACCGTTCACTCCGCGACAAAACGAAAAAACCCACGTCTTTCCTCCCTTTGAATCCCCACGTCTTATAATATGCACAGGTCCCAAACGTTTCCTCGAGCCAAGATCCACCACCCCAGTTTTTTGGCGGAGCATTGAAAGAATTACACCGATTGTTGGGGTCCGGAGGAATATGGATCATTCACGGGCGGAAAACCCCCCTCCTCAGGGGGACCACAATTAGTCCGGCCAATCAGAACCAAAAGTTTCCAACGGATCATCTTCGACACACCAGTGGAAGGTAGGTAGGTAGGTGAGAGAATTGACATGGTACTTGTGTCTCAGAGGTGCTAGAGGGAGTCAGGACATTTGTTGCTGAGGCTTGCAGTTCTGTGCCCACCCCTGCCACCTCAACTATCTTCGTTTCTTGTGTCTTCAAGACTAACTATAGATCATAACTATAGATCAGATTGGATAGAAACATTCGGTTTTCTCCGGCATACAAACTGATCTGCAGGTCAATCTCATTTCAGCACAGTGATACATAACCTTGCAGGAAAGACCCCAAGACGTGGAAGATCGGAAGAGCGAGCGAGCGAGCGAGCGAGCGCAACAGACAACCAGAGAAATGGGGGCACCGCTCTTTTTCGTCATTGCCCGCGTGGTGAGCAGAGACGGGGCGTTGGAAAAGGTGAGTAAAACAATGTTCAACACTTTCATCATTCACCTCTAGCCCTGTCCCTTCTCCCTCCCCGATAACCTTAGGGACGGAGAAAGGAGAGGACGCCCATCGAGTGCGCAAATGTACTAAATGATCTTTCCTTTCTCATCGCCCAGTGGCGCGAAGTCCTCGCCGGCCTGTGCAAAGTCTCCAAAACGGAGCGGTACTCGAATTCCTACTACTGGGGCCACGACCTGGACGGCGAGACCGACACCCTCTGGGGCCTCGAGGGCTACTACCACGCGACGGGGTTCTTCCTCGACCACGTCTCCAGCGACGAGTTCAAGGCCGAGATGCGCAAGGTCGACGACGCCAAGCTGCTCCGCACCGTCCAGGGCATCGGCAGCCCGGACTACGATCTTCGTTACTACGACCTGTTCGGCGGGTTTTTGACCCGCAAGGACGACCCCGACCGGGACAGGCAGGACAGTTTCGTCTGCGTCGTGCATTTCTCGGCCGTTGAGGGCGCGAGGAAACAGCTCTTGGGCATTGCGGCCGATGGTGCCGACTTGGTCGAGGCCACGGCCGGGAATGGGGTTGCTCCCTTTGGGGCCGTGCAGAGTTTCGCCGTCCTCAAAGAAGTCAATGATTTGAGTCTGGTCAGTCTCTATGTCAGGTACGTTACGTTGCACCAGCAGTTCCTACCAACAGTTCAGACCGCATGGTTGCCCATACCATGCCATGCCACAACACCTAGTATAGGATATGACGGGATAGGATGCTAACAAGACGTTCTTCTAGGACTCGATCACAAGAGGCGTGGGAGGCGCTCGAAGCCTCCGATATCTTCCAGCGGCTGTTGGACCATGTCAAGCCGATCACGACAAAGACGGAGAAGCACCGTTCACAGGCATTCATCGGCCACATCAACCAGGATTGTCTGACTCGCGCTCTATAGATGGATGATTTACTTCAGGACCTAGAGTCCTAGAATCCTAGAGTGTTTCCGGATGTAGATGGTATGAAAAACATCTGGGGAAAAACTAGCCAGCCCAAATCTGGTATATCCTGTCTGAAGATCTTGAGAGCGTGCTCAGTGTTTTATCTCATGCGACCTACCCTCAGCCGTTGAGGAGGTAGACCGACGGCATGGTCGATCAATCGATCCACAACAGCCCAACTCATCCAGACCTGTAGAATCCACAGGCAGAATACCCACCGTCGACGGTCCAGCGTGCTGATTCCCAGTCTTTGTTAGTCCTTCCGAACGCTCTTGATAATAGGGAAGAAGTGTTGTGAAAGCGTAAATGAATGAAAATGACTCACCCCCGGTCACGTACGATGCATCATCACTCAAAAGGAACACCAGGACCTTGGCCACTTCGTCCGCCTGGCCCATCCGGCCCAGCAGGGTGCCTGCGCTGAGGAGGTCGGAATCAAAGAGGCCTTTCTTTTCTCCGTCGCGGAAGATCTTGGTGTCGATCGGACCTCTACAAGCGGATTATTAGCGCTGTGCTCATTATATAATCCACACAGAGAGAGGGGGGGAGAAGATTGAGGTACGGTAACAAGGCGTTGATCCGGACCCCCAGCTTCCCGTATTCTGCGGCCGTCGACTCCGTGAGGCCAACGACGCCAAATTTGCTCGAGGCGTAGGCCGCATTGCGCGGCAGACCTCGCAGGCCCGACGTGCTGGACACGTTGACGATGGAGCCGCCCGGCCGCGAGATCTCTCGGAGTTGGGCCCGCATGCAGTTCATCACGCCGGTCAGGTTCACCGAGATCATTCGCTCCCAGTCTTTTTGGACCTTGGAGGAGTCAGGACATGACGGGACTGGAGAGGTCTGGAGAAAGACGGGACAGGATGGTGGTCGTGATGGTGATGGTGGTGGCGGTTGTTGGTCAGGACTTACTATCTCCTCTGTAATCTGCCCTTCGCCGCCCGCAATGCCCGCGACGTTTGCCGCGCCGTCCAATGTGCCATGATCCCGAACGACGTCGCGGATCCACTCATCAACCTCGTCGGGATTGGCCACGTCGACCTTTTTCACTGTCACTTTTGTCGCATACCGGTTGCCTTTGAGAAAACACCCAAATCAGCCTCGAACACTACGTATATATGAGGACAAAGGCTCACGTCGACATTTCAGTGGTGAGGGTGAGGGTGCGTACATTGCTGTCTTGTTTCCTCCAACATGGCCTCATTCACGTCGCTGATTGCGACACCTTTAGCACCCAGCTCTGCTAGCCTCACCGCCGTGGCTCTGCCGATGCCTGATCCGGCCCCGGTCACGGCATATACTTTGCCTTTCATGTCGGGCATTCTGTCGTTGTCGACTCTCGACGTTTAGTGGAAGGTATTTTGAAGTATGGGACGGATGAGGACAGGGCCAGGGTATGATGCGATGTGCCTTTTGTCGATTTTCAGTGCGTGGTGGTCCTCGTCCTTATGAAATATCGACAGCAACCTTTTGTATAAATCGCCGGCATAAATCACAAAATCCAATCTACCCCATTATTTTTGGTGCCCCGGGCAATGATATGACACGGTGTGATTCGAATATGTTCATACCTAAAAAGAAACACAGCCAAAAGTTACCGCGGCGGGGCACCGGACTATCTTCAGGGGGAATACATGGCACCGTCCAACCCCGGACATTCCACCCTTGGCCATGGCAAGAGTATACAAGCGTGGACGGCACATTGTCAGTCTGTGGCACTCTTTTTAAATTGAATGTCAACTTATTTTCCTTGAATCAATGTTAATCAAGGTCAGCATTTGCCCTGATACTGGATAAACGGTTGTCGAACTGTAAGGCGTTGACGAGTGGCATACCTAAAAAGCTTGAACAGCCGCCCACCAACTTCACAAACCCTGCAAATCGAGTTGGGTACGACTCGCACCGACGTTGGTTTATCATGGCGCAAAAGACGCTGCAGGGTAAAGTGGCCCTCGTCACCGGCTCGAGCAGTGGCATGGGTCGAGGAATTGCCCTTGGCCTCGCGAACCAGGGCGTCGCTATCATCTGCTGCGATCTCAAGCCAGAGGCGAACCCGGAGGGATTCGAAAAGGACCTGCAGACGACCACGGTTGATGTGATTCTCGCGCAGGGCGGACAAGCCGTGTTTTTCAAAGTGGACATTTCTGTCATGTCAGACATTGAAAAAGCCTTTAGCGAGGGTATAGCGGTACGCCACATTCCCCCCTGCTGGATTGACTTGTACATGATAGATTCAAGAACTAACTCGCGGATCCTCTTAGAAATTCGGACGTCTAGATATCGTCGTCAACTGCGCAGGCTACTGGGCACCGTTCCGGAAATTCGCCGTCGAGGACGATGACCTGTGGCAAAAGATGGCCAACGTCAACTTGCTAGGCACCTCGAAGTGCAATCGCTTGGCCATCCAGCAGTTTCTGAAGCAGGAGGTCGACGAGGCATGGGGAAGTCGGGGTAAGATTGTCAACGTCTCGTCCTGCGCCGGCAGCATTGCATTCCCCTACGAGGTGGCGTACTCTGCCTCGAAGGCGGCCGTCAACCACATGACCCGCGCCGGGGCACTAGACCACGCGCAGGACTCGATCAACATCAATTGTATAGCCCCAGGCGTCGTGGCTACCGGTATGGCCCGCAAGAACTTCGAGGACGGAGACATTATCAAGCACATGAAGAAGGCCACTCCCTGGCCTCGGCTGGGCACAGTCGAGGATATCGCAGGCACAGCTTTGTTCCTGTGTAGTAAGCAATCCTCGTGGCTCACTGGCCAGGTTTTTGCGGTGGACGGCGGTATGACCCTTGGTGTGCCGCCTTGATCTGATCGATCATTTGTAGTCTGAGCTGTTTGGCCAGATGTGTTGATTATGGCAGCATCAGGGGATGTCTGGCTGATCTCCGATAGAACCCCAGGTCTGCCTTCTTTCGACCGAGGATCATTCTCATGCTCTCAATAAGAATACTTGACCTCGTGGGACACTCGAGATTGCCATTGGGGCTGACTTTGTTATATTTCAGCGTCTTGCCACGTCATGTGTACCACGAGGCTTTGAAGATGGTCCAACAATGCCTCGCAGGAGAATCGGCATGATATGTCCTTCGCTGCCGCAAAACACGTAGTTCAGTATACTTCCCCACGAATTCAAACGATAAGAGTCTCCGACATGGACCTTGTCCTGTTCGCCACAGTCCACGAGGTAATCACCAACCACATCCACATCAAACTTGCTTTCCTCTAATAGTTGAGCGGGAGAAAAAGTGAATGCTTTCTCGTCAAGATAGGCTGGAGACGCCAAATACCAACCACGAGAGATCTCGGATTGCAAATGATGCTGTATGATAACGCCAGGGCGAAACTCAAATACCGCTTGAAGCTTGGCCCAGGTAAGTGAAGTGAGGGACGCGCTTCATCAGACTCATCACCGCGTCTGCGAGACGTTTCGCGCTGGCTGATGACAAGACTTCAGGCTATCGAAGTTTGTGAGTTTCACCTAGCTTTGGTAGTGTGCATTCCTGCCGAGGAGAATAGTCGTCTCATCCGAGAAGGTCGAGTAGTGTCTGGATGTCAGTCTGCGGGAACGCGACCCTTAGGAGTATTGTCCGCTGGGATCAACACAATGCCTGTGTACCATTCATACCAAGGAAGACGTGAGGTGAAGACGTGAGGTGACCCGGTTGCCATGACTGGTACCGTACCTAAGCTCCTACAGCTTGTCATAGTTTGTATTTGCGGGAGTGAGACATCTCTGATCGATACTGGCGACGCGTTGGCTCGAGACCAGCGTAGCCACTCACATGGCGGCTGCGAACAACTACATTTGAACAAAGGCGTGGAGATCATCAAGGTCGTCCATTGATTGCTGTAATTCCCCAGAAGCTCAGCTTTAAAGGTGTCTGGAAGGTCTTGGCAACTGGTGTTCATTCACGTACTAGTCCCGATCAGGCAGTATATCTTTCAGCAATCAAAGATGCCGTCGCTTACCGACCCAAGCGCCCAGGCTGCCAGGGTACAACTTCCTCGTACAAATACGCAACACCGTGCCAGCCTCGTCAAAAGAGCGAGTACGAGTACCGAGTAATGTTACAACCACATTGCCACTTTAACGCCCTCCGCTTCCACATGCACGCACAGACACCACGCCCCTGGCCACAACCTGCCCAGTTCATTTCTTGGCTCAGACGCCATGTCTCCATTGGGTAAAAGATCGGTAGACTCTGCCTTCGGACGCCACCCCGACTGCATAGCCGTTGCTGGTTGTGCCGAATGTGCGCTGGTTCAATTCGTTTCGAGTCTGTAGTGAGGGCAGGCAGACTCAGGTACTCTCAACGCCTTTGCCCCTCGCCAAAGGAACCCAAGGCGGTCATTGAGATCGAAGAACTCTGTATAGATCGATCTTTAAGAGGGGGTGCAGAGACCGGTTTCAGCCTAAGTCATCGCGATGACCGGTGGCTACTTGGTCTATAGGCCACTCGTCCCGTTGAGCACGGACCGAGGGTAGAAATACCGAATCAAGCACCATAAAAGATTGAGAGATCTGCATCTTCGAAGCAGGGACCTTCTTCGCCCATGGTTGACACGCGCCCTAGTAAGGCGACATAAGCCGTCCTTGTTCACCACATGGCAGACCTCAACTCCCTGGAGGTGGGAGAGCTCCTGGAATTCGATCAGATATGCGTCTCTGACGCTTCTGGCTGGGACGATGTAGGTCTCTTCTTTGCTCTCTGGCGAACGGCCTAGACTGACAGATTATTTCTTCTCAGAACTCTGTCACAGCGTCGCCCCTTTCCTTCGACACATATGGCTTGAACCCCTCGACACCACTCGAATCCCCTGATCAGAGCGAAGCATGCTCAACACCAGTAGCCCCGCGAGACCGGGCCATCCGTGATATGCATATTGTTGTGGTGGACCAGTATGGCAGGGAATGTGAAGTGGTTCAGACTCGGGGCGAGGTACGTGTACTGAACGGATGCGACAAGATGTGCCGCTGACAAAGTCACCAAGAGACGACGTGCACAGAATCGAAAAGCCCAACGAGCGTATCGGGCACGCAAGGAAGCTCAGCTGAAGGCTGCCTCGTCAACCTTGGCTGCCAACAATTCACAACTCCAGACTTTAACCCAGCATAACCGCGAGCTTCTCGAAATCGTTAAGGGGCTCAAGGCCACGGTTGTTCAGCTAGAGGCGGAGAACCAGATCCTGAAAGAACTGTATAGCCACAGTGCGAATGGAACGGATGATCAGGCAGCGTCAATGCTCGAGAGTCCATGTTTCATGTCCCCTGTTCCCTCAAGTATGTATTGGCATACATCAGAGAGATCGGGTACGCCATGATCATGGGACACATGTAGCATGTGCTGGGCGGCTTAATCATGGAGGCGCTGTCGGCGAAAAGGATACGCGGTAATAATAACGCGTATGATTCCTTGAAGAGCACCTTTTCTCTCTCGCTGCAACTGTGCAAGACCAAGAAAGTTGGCTGTGGATAACCGAGAAGGATGGAACTTCAGAATGGGCTGGAGCACATCGACCGGGAATCCACTTAGAAGACATCCCACTAGTATCCAAATCACATGTTCCAACCACGATCATGGTCCTGTCTAGTGGCTCCATTGGATTTTGCTGAGGGCACCATTGTGCGAGAACTTCGCAGATCGAGAGGTACGGAACGTGATCGGTAGGATGAAGTCTTCGTTGTCCCGACCAAGTCTTTGTCAGCGATGGACACTCTTCTTAAGGTGTTACTTGTGTAAATACTCTCCAGAGCCAAGGACTTCAGATATGACTGTCAGGAGGAGTCATCCCGGGGCGATCAACCGGCCAAGCAACAGGCCTCTCATCAGCTGGACGGCAACTCAGGTGATATAAGCGTGATTGATATGGCGTCCTTGGCTTCGCTTACCCTCAAAGTGACAGGTGCCTGCCATAGTCATGCCACACTGTGTAAAATGGGCGAACTGCTTCTCGGGCAGCGTTGTAGGCGGTCTCGCTGCTTTAGCAAGTCGCGCCGTCTGCTCATTCCTAAGCAGATTCAGCCAAGGTTCTTTGCTTACAAAAGCAGTCTTCAGTTTACTTACCCTTGGTAAATCTGTCGATGATCCAGCCTCAGAACCCAGGGAACACTGGTAGGTTGTGGGGTACGCTCCGCAGAAGCTTCAAGGAAGTGACACTAAACGATAGTGCCGGTTCCTTATTCGGTAACCCAAGGAGGCTGTCATTGGTTGAGTGTGGTCTGGAGGGACGCTAAATGCCTCTCTCGCTTGACAGAGCACATGAAAGGCATTCAAGACTAGCTGACTCCACTGGGTGCGAGTGCTTACTCATAGCAGCCCTGTGGCAAGCGACCAAACAAGCAGGCAACAGATATCTTGGACGGCAATGGCGAAGAGTGTGGTGTGAATTGCCCGGCTGGATGGTTGGGGGGGACCATGATTGAACGCTTAGGCAGTGGTTATCGTGATCTCTATGGTCGTTGATGCATTCCTATTCCTCTTCCCAGATGTTGTTGTTCGAACGAGGGTAATAGTAGAGTCGAAGTGGATTGAGAATTCGAGATTTCAAAACCTTCTGGTCGGAGTAGAGAGAGAGTTTGAGAGTTTTGTCGCTATCCCAAAACAGCTATTTGTGGCTTGCATAGTTACCTCAGGCTGTATCATCCGTCGACTCTAGGAGCGGACCATCTTTCTATTCAACATTGGGTAAGCTTTTGTTTTTGTGAGGTCTCGGCATGTCTTGCGGCGATGCCTATTACCACTCATGGTAATGACAGCACAGAGAAGACATTCGAATCACTGTCATTGGGGCGAATTGGGGGAACCAATGATCTCTTGATCTGACGCGTTCATTTTGTTTCTCAGATGTATTGAATGTTCCCTGATTTTCTGTTCTGTTCGCCAGAGTGGCTGTCTGGATGAATGTTGGCTGACAGACTAGGGGGGAACAAACTTTGATCTAGACGGAACAGATAAGGTGCCACCTGCATCGTTGGGGTCGAGTGTCGTCATGAGTGGTCTGCATTTCTGTTCCCATCCTCTTCAACCTCCAACCGCTTCTGACCTTAGGCCCAGCAAGTCCTGCTCTTCACGAAAACCATGCCGAAGACGACACTTGAAAGCCTAGCGCCGCCATGCTACCCTTTGGAAGCGCCCGCATTGGATGATCTACAACTGCGATACTCATACGAAATCGCACGAGGAGAAATGGGCGTCTTGTCATTTGAACCATACAAGAGTCTTATCTTGCCTTACTGGGTTTTTCGCACTGTTCCACTGGCGCAGAAATCAGCAGAAATCTTGTGGTCCATCTTCGAATCGTATGTGGAACGTGGTGATTTGGTGGGGGCGGACATGAGTCGCAAGTTCATCCAAATGGGCATGACGCGCGCCCGTCGATACGCCAACCATAAAGGCGGTCGCAAATATGGTGCGGAGGGAGAACAGTTGGAGAAATGGACCGGAGACGATGTCGAGGGGAAGCGGAAGGAGAAAGAAGAGGCGAGCGAAATCTTCAAGAGCTATTGGAGGCGGTGTATTGCTTCGGAGGAATATATTCGGTTGAAGAAGGAGTGGTCTACAGCCAAGCAACAATACCTAAAGGATAAAGGAGGCTAGGGAGTCGAGACTTGTGTGGTCGTACTTATGTCCTGGTTATCTTCCTGGGCGACCAGCTGTCTGTTGTTCTGCAGGGAGTTTTTCGTGGAAGGACCATGGATCGCCTCGGCAAAAGCGATCCATTCTTCGATTCCCTTCACAAAGGTATCTTCATTTGTTGGCACGGCATCATGGCCCCAAACAATGACCTCTTCAAAGGTGGATAACTCCTCGAAGACCTTGACTGGCTCGGGAGGGTCGTCGTCGTCGTCTTCTTCGGCAATTTCAATATCTTCATCCACCACGGTATACGTGGGTCCAGTCTGCGTTTTGGAAGGCTGCGGGAGATACCGATCGGTGTCCTTTGCGACGACCCCTACGGCCCTCTCAGTAAGGCCTTCTTAAGTATCTGGCTTCGGAGTTTATTACCTTGGTATCCAGAGGGTATATTTATGCGTTTGCCTCGTAACTTGCGGCCCCGAAAGTATGAAGTTGCCGTACCATCTTGGAATGCCAATGTTAGCGTCTCCTTGGGGATATCTGAGAACGCGTGCCGACAAGTACCTTTCTCAGCTTCTAGCGACCAGTATCTCTTTGTCACTTTGGTCGGACCATTGTGGTGGATACGGCAGGGGAGGATGTTGACAACACATTTGTCTGTAAAGTTTGCGTTTCGCTGCAAGGCCAACATTTTCACAGGTACTTCCAAATGATTCCGGATACGCAAAGTCACCTGTTGTTGTAGTGAGGAGTTGATGGGGAAGACTTGGATTTGAACTGTAGGGAGGCTTCGACGCGTCGCTGAAGACGCGTCAAAGAGGAATCCAATTAACCCGGATAATTTTCGGATAAATGTCTGGCCGACGCCAATTGCCGAAAACCTAAGTCGACTGTAGGTGTGGTATAGAAGCATGCGCAAAGGATTAAATGGAACGTATACGTCGTTACAATGTCTGATAAAACCACCACGGTGAGACCATGGGGTTATTATGCAAGGAGGTCTAAGCCTGGCATGGCCCATATAGTAAGGAGTAAGTAAAACAGGAAGCCTATGCCTCAGCTACGGATAAAGACGTGCTGAACGCGGGTATCAAACAGGGCGATCGACCAGGAAACGTAAGACTCCGGAATTTAGAGAGAGAGATAGGAAGAGGAGCTTTGCCATACTCCTGCGAGAAGACCGCGTGCTGCGCCATCGAGACATTGGCGATTCAGAGGTGGCAGGCGAATTCGCTATACGCCGGGTCAGTTCTGATTCCTTAATTAAGTTCTGTCGTATCTCGTCATTTATTGTAAGGCTGCATTTAACACCAAGAGATTGGCGATGTCACCAGGAAGCAGCAGGAAGCACCATAAATCGGATGAGGTCATACCAGCGGGTTGTTCTGCTATCATGGCAGAAACGCATAGTGCCAGGCTTAGGCAAATGGCTGCGTGGGTCAATGCTTCCTCTTCTTCTTTTTCTTTTGTTTACGAGGTTTCTTCTCGCCTTCCACGTCCTGATGTCTTTCGGGAGGCGGTGCTGGCCATCGCTTGGCATGTTCTCGTTCGAAAGCCGATTTGTCTTTTCGAAACAGTAGCATGCACGCCCGGGCATCCTCCACACTTGAATGCTCGCCCTGCTGTATCTCAAAACCTAGCAATTCTGACACCAAAATTTTTAGTCGCGGCGATCCACCTCCAGCTATTTTGCGATACGGTGGATGGCGAGCTGTATCCCGAATATCTCGTTGAGGGTGGCTGATCATCAGGGCTGCCAGATCATGCCGTATGGCGTGGCCAACAATAACTTTATCCTCCAGAATCCTTGCCACCTCCACTTGGACCTCTTTGAACTCTCGTGCAATTTTCATGTGAATGTGTGATATGCCACTGATATGCGTTCGGTAGTCTGTGACAGGCTCAAGGGGAAGAACGTAGGAGTCGTAGACTTGGTCGCCATTGTAATTGACAACGCTGACACGAGCAAGTGCCGATTCGCTATCTGGATTCGGCCCGACGCCGACCATCTCGCAATCTAGAGCAACGTACCTGCCGATTTCCACCCTAACAGCTGGTCAGGACAAAGGACGTCAAGGGGAATGCGAAACGTACTCGGGAGACAACCCAGCATTGACCTGCGATGATGAGTTGGCAAGAAACCGTGGACGAGGAGCGTTGTCAGACTGCTCTAGTTCTTGGATAGACGGTGTTTTCGTAGATACGCCGCCACCTGTAGCCATAGTCCCGCGGATACGTGGTCTCTTCCTAGATTCCGCGAATTCTGCTGCGTTCTTGGGCGCGGTATGCCTCACGACTACCCGTTTGCGTTTCACGCCATGGTTTGACAATTTCGTGGAGTTGCTACTTGTCTTCGTGCTTAGAGTGGCTTGAAGTTTCTTCCAGTTTGCTGACAAGTTATCCAGGTCCATGGCAGACCGTCAGAGCGGTTTGGAAGGAAGCATTATAAGCAAAGACACAGACTACAGCAGGTTGAAAACAAAACTGCGGAGAAACTGGTGTAGAGCACCGTTAAGTGGTGTGGCGGAATGGAACAATATAATTCCGTTCCGAGATCCACCATATCTCATCCTCCACCCGATATCACTCTTCAAACGACGCTCACAAGTCTACTCGATATACCTGGGCGTTTGTTCACTGCTACTTCGCTGCACAGGATATCTGTGGTTTCATAGCTTCTTGGAGCTTGCATCTGACTGGCGATTGGTGTTGACGGTTTCGTTTTATACCGGCTCTGTCGTTGTGGCTTTAACAACGATCATTATCTTGCTTCTACCTTGAAGGAGCTATCCCGCTCAGAGGATTTGAATCGCCTACAGCTACCATTGAGACATTGAAATCCAATTCTCTACACTGCGCAACGGAATGTCGGGCTCGACAGGTACCACAAATCTCTCCATCCTTGGATCAGCTCGGAAGGCAGAAGTTCCCAGCGAGATCCCCCAGAAAGCACATTATTCCCCACCATGGGCGGACATGAGCATAATCGGCATAGCTGGATCTTCAGGTTCTGGCAAGACAAGTCTGGCGGTGGAAATCGTGCAGTCCTTGAATCTTCCCTGGGTCATCATCCTGTCTATCGATTCATTCTACAAGTCGCTAACCCCTGAACAAAATGCTCTGGCACACCGAAATGAGTACGATCTCGACTCACCGGAATCAATCGACTTTGACCTCCTTGTGGAGAAACTGATAGATCTCAAGAAAGGGAAGAGAACCGACATACCGATCTACTCTTTTCAGCAACATCAGAGATTAGACAAGACCGTCTCGATATACTCACCACATGTTGTGATCCTCGAAGGAATTCTAGCCCTGCACGACCCGCGTGTCCTCGACCTACTGGACATGAAGATCTTCGTTGAAGCAGATCCAGATGTCTGTCTGTCGAGGCGCATCGTGCGTGATGTGAGAGAGCGGGGTCGAACTATTGAAGGGACCATCAAACAGTGGTTCAGTTATGTCAAACCCGTCTTTCAGAAATTCGTTGACCCCCAAAGAGAGATTGCCGACCTGATAGTACCCCGTGGTATGCAGAATAAGATGGCGATTCAGATGATCGTCAACCAGACCAGACAGATCTTGAAGGAGAAGTCCATCAGGCACAACGCGGAACTGGAGAAGCTGGGCCAACAGGTCGAGGATTATACTCTCTCCGAAAATGTCATGGTCCTAGGTGAAACACCACAGATTGTCGGGGTATCAACAATCCTCCGAAACCCGATAACTGACCAGGTTGAATTCGTCTTCTACTTTGACAGGTTGACGGCACTCTTGATCGAGAAAGCTCTTGACTGCCACAACTATATCGCCGCCGACGTTACAACCACAACAGGCTATACGTATTCTGGACTCACATCAGCCGGCAAAGTTTCTGCTGTGGTGATTCTTCGCGGTGGAAGCTGTATGGAGACGGGGCTCAAGCGAACCATTCCAGACTGCCTGACAGGACGACTGCTTATACAATCCAACATTCGTACCGGGGAGCCAGAACTGCACTACCTCAAGCTCTTCCCTGATCTTGCGGAACACGAAACAGTCATGCTATTAGACCCACAAATGTCGAGTGGTGGAGCTGCCCTGATGGCTGTCAAAGTTTTGGTTGATCATGGGGTCGCCGAGGGAAGAATTGTCTTTGTGACGTGTATGGCTGGGCGACGGGGCCTGAAGAGGTTGATGACAGTTTTCCCTAAGATCAAGGTGGTGGTGGCCAGGATCGTCGAAGACAATGAGAAGAGATGGGTAGAGGAGAGATACTTTGGCTGTTAGCTGGATTTCATCGCCTCAATTTGTCGCATCTCGGGGGCCAAGGCTGTCAGTCTTTGATCCAGACATTCATCCCTGTCGACAGGCCCCAGTCACCGAGACTCCTGACTCTGGAAAAGTCTAGTTACTGCAAGGGGCGAACACATCCATCGGTACACCAGCCAGCGCCAGCGAAACCTCTTGATCTGCAAGAACTTAAAATGCAGACAACTCTGGTCGAGGTGGAGCACGAATCGCGACATCCACACCTCCTCGCACATGGATGAGGACCTTCAAATGTACATATAATCCTCAACGTCCGTATTTTCAGAGATCTCCCTGAGCAAAGGTCATATTCGATCAACATCTCCAATATTACAGACCTGCATCGTCATCAACCCAAGACACGTTCACATGCCGGATTCCCCCATCGACATTGTGCTGCTGCAACGACATCCTCACATTTCGAAGCTGGTAGTCTTCAGATCAAAGGCTCGCAGATTTCTTAGCCGTTTTCGATCTCGCAACTGAGAACAGCTCACTTCACCATGGTCACCTTCACGAAATTGGCTGCGACGTCGGTGGTGATCATCTGCTTCGCTGGAGCCGCGCCAGTGAAAAACCCCTCTTCCATCGGCGAACGCACCAAATGCCTGACTGTGGGCTGCCCACAGCCGGAAGAACTCCACCCGTATATAGGGAGTGTCACGCAGGTGGATAGACGTGATGTCGTTCCTCTCAGGAACGCGAAAGTGGAGGATATCACTGAGACCGGGGACTCTGAGGTTGTCATGCCTGCTGTCTCGACGAAGCTGGTGAAGAACAGCATTGTCAAGAAGCCACTGGAAGCGCTTGTGGGCGAGGAGACGAATGATCCTGGACATGGCAAGAGGGATATCCAGAAGCAGCTTGAGCAGGATGGTGTTGAAGAGGAGCACGAGGGCGCCAGCCTTACCAACAACTCGCCTCTCTACCCCACCCGTACCCTTGAGAATCCCGAGTCGGCTCAAGCAGGCACAGGTGCACGCATCCCTCTTCTCAGGGCAGAAGATGGCTTGGTTAATGTCCTCGAACGCACTATAATGGGGCGGGGCAGTGACCTTGGGCGAAACTAACTTGCTTGCACGCGAAGTTTTGCTCTCAGGCTCTATCATACTTGACAGTGTGATGGGAAGGGATCGAGGGGCCTTCAGAGTTGGGCACGGAAGGATAAGCAAGCAAATGTACGGGGATGAAGGATGTCTGTCTGGTCACCATGAGAGCGGGAGCTGTGAGCGTCACACGATATCTAGGACAGAAGGGTTAGAAGGAGTCGAGTTTGCTGAGGGAGAGCTGGGATAGAGCGCTCAAGTCGTGGAGGAGAGACACAGAAGACAGGTTACGCTCTTGGATAGTCGACTATGGTGATTCAAATACAATCAATATGAGAAAATTCAGTTTCACGACCGGAATCTCGACGCCCGTCCCCCATCCGCTGCATCATCCTTTCAGATGCCTACGACTGAAATTATCCCTTATGGTCGGCATGAAAAGACTTGATTACTCTCGGCTATCCGCCTCTGCGAGCGACCAAAGTCATTACAGCCACGTGCACGACCTTTTTGCCCTTGAGGCTGAATCGCGGGGGGGGGGGGGGGGGCTTAGCGGCCGTGGATGGGCGAACAGCCAGCGCCTTGGCCGACCCGAAGGGGTAGCTGAACTGCAGTATTTTAACCAGGTGAATGCAGGCTCGTATGCGGTGCTAGTGGGCTGTGCAACACCTGCAAACGGAGACGTGCTGGGCATTCTGGTTGCCCTCTGATTGCATCCTGAGGACTACTGATCATTGTTGATTGACTCTTGCTTATAATTGCCGCCCTCGAGATATTTCCTCCTCGTCGGCGGCGACTAGATATGCAATGGCAGCGAAAGACGACCCACAGCTGCTAATAAGCGCATACATTGGTGATACAACACGAACCTACGATGTCGCCCGGGAGGCGTTCGAGAAAGGCGTCGAATACTTCAAGAAAGAAGTGACCAACGACAAGGTCAAGAAGGACTGGATCGACAAACAGACGTCCCTCCAAGATGTCCTCAACGTGGCCGAAAACGCTCACCGCGACTACCAAGCCTCACACTCTCAAGGCGGGCCCATTTCGACATGGGTTTCGCGGCTACCGCATCAGATTATGTATTATGGCTCCGTGATCGACGTCTTCACACAGTCGCATCCAGAGTACGCCGCTCTCGCATGGGGAGCCATAAAGTTCGTTCTCATGGTAAGGGTTCTACTTGTACCTACCCTTCAGGACCTTTCACTGATGAGCAGGGTGCTATTGATCATGCACGCCTGTTCGCAAAGATTGCGGAAGCGCTGACGCTTGTCGGCGAATCGCTGCAGCGGGTGACGGTGTACTCGAAACTCTATTCCCCGGCGGAGATTCTACCAACTATTGCCAGACTTTACGGCCATGTCATCCTATTCTTGATGAAGGCGGTGAAGTGGTATAAGAAAAGCAGCTGGTGGAGAGCTTTGAAGTCAGTGTCAGAGCCCTATGATATTGGCTATAAGGAAACCGTCGACCAGATCAAGGCCTGTACGGCATCACTCGATACGGTCGCAGACTCAGCCGCCAAAGTCGAACTCCGTGGTGTGACATTGATGCAGACGCAAAGCGTTACGAGTCTGAATGCTGTCGACAGCAAACTAGAATGGTTGCACGGTGCCTTCGCCAAGTCTGTCTCTCAGTTGGCATTGGTTGAAGGCAAAATTGATAGCCTGTTCTGCGTCGCAAGCAGTAAGGACCATACCCTACCAATTCCAATCAATTACCTAACGTCACACTAGGCACCCACGCACTGAGCCATCAAATCTCCGGCGACGTGCTTGATAACAAGGAAAGACTGCGGGACTTACAGTTCGCTGAAATACTCAACGAGTTGGGTGTTGGTGAAGATGCAATCCGGCGACTAGATCAATGTCGAGCTATCTACAAGCGACGACAACCCTGGAAACACGCAGGTCAGGAGTCACTCAATCTTGTCAATGTTATACGGAGTTGGGCAGCTAGCAACGGTTCTGCTTTGCTGGTAGTTCAAGGCAGTCCATTGACGGAAGCAAAACTCAAGGACCTGGCTGTCAGCGTCGTCGACTATGGTCGGGCGGCGGGTGCCAGCACCATCTGGGCGTTATCTGAGAGTAAGAAGTCCCGACCACAATCGACCGATCGAACAGGACTCTGGAAGACGCTGATAGCGCAAGCACTTCGACATGACCCGACGATGCCAAACCAGAATGACTTGAAGTTAAGCGCATCACAGTTCAAACTTCACCACCATGAGAGCGAGTGGCGGACTCTGTTCTCTCAGGTCGTTTCGAAGCTGTCGAAATGTGTTGTCGTGGTTGAAGCGAGCGACGTGTTTAAGGACTTTAACTACGATCCTGCCCGAGTCTGCGATTTCATTTCCATGTTTCAACTCGCTGCGGATGAGGTGGCGTCTCGGGGAGGTGTGGTCAAAATCCTCATCGCGAGCTATTGTTCGGATCGATCAGCACTGGCGGATCTCTCAGCCTCGGGTCGCGTATTCACGGCATTCGTTGCCCGCCCTAAACCCATCAACAAAAAGGCAACAAAGCGGGCTCGTGCCGTTGACCGAAAAGCGAGACGGAGCGTCGTATTCAAATAGCGTCAGAGACTCAATCGGTATCATGACTGTCCGTCGTACCATTACAGAAAATGAAGCTTGAAAATGGGTTGACCAGCCCGGGCTACAAGCGTCATTTCAGGACTCGAATCAAAGGCTTCCCGATGCCAGTAGTTGCCTGGATGCCTGAGGCTGTCAGTACAGGGTTAGGCTCTGCCCTCAGTCTTTCAACCCAATGAATCATGTGCTCAGCTACTGCGCCTATCATTCACCCGTGGCTAAAGGTGACAGGTCTACAGGCTGTCGAATGGAGAACGGGATTTGATGCTGCTAGATCCCCTGATCGGGCGTCTAGGCGCATTCACCTGCACATGTTAACCAAGCCACCCACCAGCTCAGCCTCCACCTGAGACGCCAGCGGTCTGCCTTGCGGTTTAGCGAGTTACGGCTCTAAGGACTTCGAGGTGGTGAGGGCCACTTCAGCTTGATATATCTTTCCTTCACTAACAGGATCAACCTACTACTAGAGGATATTGAAACACATCCACGCTCAGGCTTCATAGCTATGGATTTCAGACGTGGGGCCCCGATAGCCAACCCAAGGTTCGCCCCCAGCAACAAGCGAGAACGTGAATTGTCTGAAGACGACGACGACGACGACGATGCCCGGAGCGATGGCGCGACCGAGGTGTCACACGAACACGATTTCAAACGGCCACGCCATAGTTTCGGTTCTAAAGACGACTACACTGTGATCGATATCTACCAAGTGTACTGCCAGCAAAAACGAGGGCGTCAAACCGACCACTCTGGCCACGTCAAGAACGCTCTATATCTCGACGCTCCAAGGCTCTTCCCGGGCGACGACAAGGCCAGCCAGCTTCGCGGTAAGAAGCGCATCCAAGACTACAACGAGCTTGTGGCTTCAGCCGGCATCGTCATCTACAAGACGTATTCCTGCGACGCGTACCTTCGGCAAGTCGACGCCCTCTTTGAGCAGGTCACCCTACCGCACCTGCAGGAGCCATTCCTGCGCGCAAACCAAGCACACTTCTTTCGCTTTCCATGTGACGGCCCCGAGGCTTTACCACAGTCGATCAGATTGGATTTGCAATCCACCGACTTCGTCAACGACTTGTCTACTGTCCTCGGGAATTCCGACATCCTCAGTAGGTGGCAGGATGAAGAGAGCTTGAGCTTTCCCTTTCCGTTCTACTTCCATCACGCCGCCGAGGTTCAGGAGGTAGTGCGTCTGTCCGCAGGGCCAGAACTGCAGAGATACACGAGCCTGCTTCTGCGCTGTATCGCGGAGCTGGGAAGTAAAGACCACGCGGAAGCGGAGACACTTTTCTCATCGGGACTTGTTAGCGATGCGCATTTCAGCAAGCTGTTCCGCGTGGGAGAACTCGTCGTCACACGCAAAGACACGATCCTGCTTGCGTACAGGCTTGAGCAAGTTCAGGAGGCGCAAGATGGCCTTTCTCTTGACTGCTGGTCCCATGACTTTAATGGAGCCTTCAAAGTGCGCCAGACCAAACTCCACGTGCGCCGCCCCTTAGAGAAAGAACCCGTCAGCGTCAATAGTCTGGAGATTTTTCCACTCAGGCTCGATCTGTCTGGTGTAAGAGACCAGCTACTCTCTCGGGGCCGCAAATTCTGGGACTGTCGCGGCAGGAAATACATTCATTACACCGCGCCTCACAGGCCGTTTGAGTCACGGACAGTGAGTCTGATGCTGTCGGTGTAACGCATTCCCTAGTTGACATGAGACTACAGGCACAACACCGATATATGATTGATTACAACATGTATCGTGTTATCCATCAGCCAGAAGAAGGACAGCAAGCCATCGAGCATCAAAGACGAGCCGACGCCGGCGAGATCCCATCAGAGACTCTCGAGCAGCTCGAAGGAACTGATCACGACGAGATGCTGATGCTGCTGCCGGCATACGTCCAAGGCTTTGGTTTTCTGGACAAGAAGTGGCGTCAGTGGTCTTATGTCCCCCACATTTTGGGCACAAATTTTTCGCTAATCGAACGGTACAGGTACCCTGCAAGTGGATCACATTAATGAGCTGAAATGGAACACCGAAGCCTTCGATCAATTGGTTCTCGATAAACGCAAAAAGGACCTCGTGAAGGCGCTCGTTTCCGTCCACCTGACATCGAGGAAGGGTGTCGATATTATCGAGGGCAAGGGCAATGGCTTGATAATCCTGCTCCACGGCGGCCCCGGCACCGGCAAGACATTGACGGCTGAGACCGTGGCAGAACTCGCAAAGAAGCCTCTCTATCGAGTCACGTGCGGCGACATGGGCATTGACCCCGAGGGCGTCGAGAAGTATCTCGAGTCAGTCTTACATATCGGCACCGAATGGGACTGCGTGGTGCTCCTCGACGAAGCCGACATCTTCCTCGAGCGGCGGACCACCGAGGACATCAAGCGCAACGCCCTCGTCTCAGTCTTCCTCCGCGTCCTCGAATACTACGACGGAATCCTGATTCTGACCACAAACCGCATCGGCTTGTTTGACGAGGCCTTCAAGAGCCGCATCCAGCTGGCCGTGCACTATCCTTCCCTGGACCGCGACGGACGCGCTCAGGTGTGGTTGAGTGCGCTTCGCTCCATCCCGGAAGGACAGGTCGGCCTCGACTTGCAGAAGCTTCAGCTCCACGTACCGAAGCTCTCGGAGCAGCCGCTGAACGGCCGGCAGATCCGCAGTACAGTCCACTGTGCCATGCAGCTAGCCATGTTCCACAATGAGAGGCTAGAGCTTAGTCACTTTGAGTCTGTCATAGCCATCACGATGGAGTTTGAGAGGTATGTCACAGAAGTCCGCGGTGAAGATGACGACGAGGCTGCCCGGACCGAGGGCCTGAGATGCTGAAAAGGTACTTTTGTCAGTCCCGCTGGAGGATAAGCGCAATTTTTGGCGATGAACTCATCGGACAGAGCATCCGTGTCTACAGTCTGATAGTCGAGTCGAATAGTGTACTGTCTTCAAGTCCTCTCTTAGATACTCGAATGTCACCCAAAGGAATTTCTGTTGAATCGTCCACTCTTGACAGAGTAGCAGCGGGGTCTCAAACCATGCTGACATGATCTCTCGGTGTCTTTAGAGGGGCTCGAACTCATGTTCTGTCGAAGGAAGGTTAGACGAACGAGAGGTAGAGGTAGTGCGAGGTACAATTGAGTACGAGATGCTCGCTGGGGATGGATCTAAGCACGATCGCGACGGATTCGCGGTATATTCCTGGTCAAGTCCAGAGCGTCACATCTTTAAGGGAGATCGAACTACTACCATCCGGATTCCGCATCTCTGTCTTTTTGAAGTATCCTAACGGCCGTAGGAGACCTTAGTTGCCAGTCTCTTCCTTTTGGGAGGTTGCTTGTTGGCAACCCCACATCCATATCAGCAGGAGTTTCGAAGGTCGGGCGTATGCCACTGACTGGTGGAGTTATTCCAGGTGATGTGTCTGTTCTGATTCGAGCCTCATCACCTCGATTCCGGAACGCGGAGAATCTGTTGAGAGTGCGATCAAATGCTTTCAACTGAGTCTTGCCGGCTTTTCAGTTGCAACGCCCTGCTAGAGCCTATAGCTCCGCGCGTGACACAGCGCTAGGGTCGCTCAGGTCTTCCGATATTGTGTACTTAACGACTCGATGAGACCAAATATGAAATCCTCCGGGCGCATACCGCTGAGTAAATGGGACTAAAGTATTGTTGTCCGTTTGTGTCGGTTGATCTGGTTGTCGAGGTGCATTCCTGGCCGGTAAGGGCAAAACCATGTCGAGGTCACTAGCCTCGATTTTAGGTTCGCCTAGTCTAGTACATAGTGTTCCGGGCGTGATTGTCGGATCATGTAACTTTTGTACTATCGCCGGACGCAGAGGCCGCCGGTGAGGAGGAGAGGTAACTTTAGCTGCTACTGCATCGAAGTCGATCGCCGATGCATTGGAGTTGAACGCATTGAGGAGGAACCGCACTGCATCGAAAGCCTCTGTCAGGGTAACAGATACCTCTATCACGGGAGATGGCGTGCGCGTTGAAAAGGCAAGCCCCCAGTCCTTGACCGTTGGATCCTCCTGCCGCCGCAGCCCCGAGCGTTGCTGCAACCGTGGTTCTTCCTGTTTTGACCTTCTGTGCACGATCGGCTCCCAAGAGCCCGTCGTAGCGTGTCATCATCTGCCCGACGCAGCCCGTGTTCGTTGCTGATACTGAGGAGGCTCTGGCCTGGACCACTGGGTAATGGACCGTTAGGACGATGTCGTTTTCGTGGACGAAAGTCTGTATCTTGGGGGGTCAAATGTCGGCCGGGACGTTTTGTATCTGGAACCAAATTTACTGTTCCGATCGAGTACCATGGCGGATTATTCCCAGGTGGAATATACCGACATAGTGAGCGTTACTCAGTTCGGCGGCAGAGTGGGTTGTTACGGCTAGGCTCTATGTTTCGACGGTAGGCGGGTCCTTATAAGCGGGGCCGAGGGTACACTCTGGATGGCGCTCGCGCGGTGTATCAGTGTCTAGGAAATAGAAACTGGCAAGAACACTGCAAGTCGGAAATGGTTGCGATGCGCGAAGGAGAATGCAGCGCAGTCACGAAGAGAAGCAGGGCAATAATGTGCCGCAGCCTGAAGTGGCTGATTCGTCGTCACCACGTGATTACTCGAGCCTCATGCGGCGCAGTGGATTTGCCTGCGTGTGTATGCTTCTGGTGAAATGCTTAGGCTGCAACAGCCGAGGCCTGGCTCGCGCAAGCTCGCGTAGGGATCAGAAGTTGGCATCTTGCAAACGACTTCTACAGTTGAACCTGAGACGCAGCGTGCAAAACCCGCTTATGAATGCTCTTACCACTCTTGTTGTTGACTGTGCAACCTTTTCGCTCGGAAATGATTGCTGAGTCACCGCACTCCCATCAGTCAAGCGCTCTCAGCCTACTGAGCTGCTCATGTGAGTTTCTAGCTCCAGACGCAAAATGTCGTGGTGTTTCCCATCGTCAGAGTCCTCTTCCACCATAGCGTAGCGGTTGGGGCTCGGCCACGTCCGGTGCTACCACCCTAATGACTGCGCTGTGCCATGACTTGTTCGGATAGCGAAGAATACCGAGGTTTTTCTTTACTCAGACTGAGATCCCGGTGGCGTGGTATAGGAATAGGCGTAGACATACGCATAGAAACTTGCCTTTGCGACAGCCCCTGTAGGCCGAATTTCTTTGACTCGGGCGGACGCTTTCGTGTGGGCTTGCGCTCTGCGAGAGCATATAAGAGGACTAGCGCTGAAGCGTGGCTGTCGGTCAGGTCTTGCGATATCGTGTACTTGCAATCTGTAAGAATGTGCCGCCGTCCATTCACGCGCCGGCCTGCCTCCAAAGCGATCGATCTATGATTGCCCGGACTGTCCATACGAAACGTAGCAAAGTCCTCGCAGGGTACGTCATTTGGAATGCTCTGAGACAGGGGCTTTGACAGGAGTTCTGACATGACTGAAGGAGCTGTCATACTCGAATGATTAGTTGCTGTCATCAGGCTGTAAACTCCGAAGGACTATTACTGGAGAATACGGCGAGGATGTGAGTTGAGAGCTTTGATTCATGTTTAACTTACCTCGCTCTGATATTGTGTTATTCATAATCGAGATAACCGGTATACTATAGTCATCGGGAGACTTTGACAGAAAGTCGTCCGGAGACATGTCCTGGACCTCCTCCACGTAGCGGAGGCTGGCAGGGTATTCCGCATTGTATCGACGACGACGATGACTCTCTAGTCCACCAAAGTCCCTGCTGGCCATCAACTTGGTATCAGGTGCGCTCGCAGGGGTAGGACCCTGCCATGGGTCATTGAATTTTCGCGCTTTGATCCCAGGTCCTCCGGAGTAGTGTGTTCTGGCTTCATTGATGTAATGCGGCGACCATAGTATTTCATTTTTTCTTGCCCTGTCGCCATCTTTCTTGTGGACTGGCACCGAATGCGCAGACGGAACGAGTGTCTGCCGTTTAGCTGCCGTCGACCCTCCTAGCAGTCTTTTCATTGTTGCATTATCTGGACGCCGAAGCCCAGATACTCCACTAGCACCTAGAGCAGAACTTGCTCCGGGCTTCTGGTTTAGGCATTTCACTGATTCCCTCTCTGCCTGCAGGGAACCAGATAATGGATTGTGCGGAGAGATTACAGGGTCGGCGGCGCTTTTGGCGGCGCCTGGCCTCTCTCCTGGTCTCTTGTCTGTAAAAGAGTTAGACTCATAATTTGGAGATAGCCATCCATTCTCACTCCAGACAGCTTTTTCGCCCAGATGAATAACTTGAGTTGGAGTTATAGGGGGCTTGGGAAAGCTGAAATACGAATCGACAGGGAATGTGCTCTTGGTTGAGGCTTGTGGGAGCGGACGATCGAGAGAGCGAATAGGATCGTACGTTAAGCTGCTTCTGCTGGTAGGAAAGTATGTAGGAAGTGGTGGCTCTAAGTGGGCATCAATAACGGAAGGCCTCTGTCGCTTCGAGGAGTAGGATTGTGCGCTAGGTGAGGAAGTTCCACCAGATAACTCCTCGGTGGAGATCTTGCTTAGACGAACCCTTTCTTGCGATAGGGCGAGGGCCACTTCTCGAGCCTCCTCTGGCAGCCCGAAGTTCACAGAAAAAGGAGAGCAACCTCTTTCCGGAGACGGGTTACGGCTGGCTCGTCGCTTGTGGCCACGCTTGGGGATAGGGTCGACCGAGATCGTAGACGAGTAAGGGTTATTGTAATTGTTAAACATGGCAACTGAGTGGATGTAGAGTAACCTCGATTGTCTTCTTCAGCTGCAGGTGTAGACTTTTGCCGCGAGAGAGCGCTATCGATTTCGCTCGTCGCCTTCAATGCCGCCGTCGGCTTTCGAGCGAGTGCTGTGTTTGAGCGTACCCACTCTAGTAAAATAGACTGTGAGGCGTAAACCCTTTGGGCACTCCTCAAGACGCCAGCGAAGCGATTAACTACGCGTTTTTTATTAGGGTTGTTCGCAGATGGATTCTATGTCACAGAACGATGCAATGAGGCTGTTGATGATCAGTTTGATAAGTGGCGCCATCACCATTAAACTCCAACGTACAATTCTGTACTTCGGAGCATAAGTGGTCTAATGCAGTATCAAGAACGCGACATCCAGTGCATGCCTGCGCAACCCTTCACTTCAATGAGGCTTCTTTCTACAGACTCAACATAAGCATCTCCTCTTCTCAGCTCAGGGAGAAAAATCAAAGCTCTCTAATCATCTCCATATTTCACTCAACCTCTACCTCGAAATCAACATCTCAGAATCCATTCATCAGGACCTGCTACTCGAGCAGATCACCGACCTTTTCCTACCCTCAATTTGCATCAACCTACCTTGACATTCCGCACCACCCATCATGGTGAGTTTCACCTCCCTGGGGTAGAAGTACCACGTACTCTATGGTCTAGAGATCACTGAGGAATATATCATTTTACAAGAAACATTTATGCTGACACCCGTGCTCTTCCTCCTTGCAGTCTCTCCGTGTCGCACCCCCAGCAGCGCACCCAACCAGCACCTCGAACACGACCGCCTCAAAACTCTCTGCCACGACGAGCACCAAATCCAAAGATGACCTTGACCGCGGCGCTCCCTCGGCCCCCGGTCTGCACGACACCCTCCGCGCCTCGTTGTACCCCCAGTCGACGGCGAGCACGCAGACCGTGACGACGGCGCACCCTCTGGAATCCCGCCTGGCGAACTGGCAAGCGACACAGGAGGCGACGCGGCTGCAGATCCTGCGCCGGAACTTTGGCATCGCGGAGCCTCTGCGCCGGGGCATGGAGTTGAAGCTGGTGCGGGACGCCGACTCGTTTCGGCCGTCCGTGCTAGGCAGACCGGCGGGCGTTCACGAAGAGATTTTGACGGGACGGGACGCGGAGATTACCTGGGAGGATGTGTACGCTGGGCAGGACGGGATGAGGTTAGCTTTCCAGGGAGGCGACGGGCAAGGGACTGGGTGGATGGAGGAGATGGAGCGCAAGGTCGGCATGGGCAAGTGGTGATCTTGATCTCGGTCAAGTGCCGTCTAATCTGGTCCTACGATTCGAGGACAAGAACAAGAAGAGGAAGAAGAACAAGAAAGAATGGCGACCCACGGAGCAGAGCTGGTGGCTCACGTCCGGCCTTCGACACTGTCTGAGCCTGGCTAACTGAGACCCATGCGCTCCATACTCCCTGCCAACCGCAGGCATCACCATCCACCCATCCACCCCTCTCCACCCTCTCGCAAGACCAGTCGGTATTACTGTATGTATGTAGATTCGCGGAGTCCGGCGTTTGGCACTACTAGCATGGAGGACTAGTGATATCTCTGGACTGAGCAGGCAGGCAAAGAGAATCAGAAGAAGAAAGAAAAAAGAACGAGAAAAAAGACAAATAGGAAGGAATACCAGACAGAAAGGTATTCAGTCCTCTGCATAACCATATCGTACGATACCTCACTTCTTCCTCATCAATTCCTCGTCAGTCCTGTCTGCCCGTCTCTCTGTCTGGGATTCATTTGGAGAATACATTGGGTGACACCGTCTATCCTGTCTTTCCAGCTATCCATAGGTACTATTGTACATATCCAACACGATGAGATATTCCAGTCCAAGTCCCCGACCTTGTCCACAAGATGGGAAAATGAGTGAGTGACCGAGTAAGAAGCTCTGTGACATGCTGTACGGCCACTCCGGACCTAGTACCTACACACGAGCGAGGGTCTCACACTTCAGCTTCAGCTCAAACTCAACCCAAAATAAAATAGAGACGCAGAAAAGAAGTGTATTCCTCGTGCCAGGCGCAATATGTACTCCATTGCAATGCTGCAAGATCCTGCCTGCCCGCCCTTGTCCCCCGGCCAGAGTCTCGTCCCTCAATTCCCGGCTGCCACACATTTGACGCATCACACCCAGTGCCCCAAACAGCCATTTGTGCCCCTTCTATATACAGCAAAGTGACAACTATCATGCCGCGATGCAACCCCATCTCTGATGCCTTCGATCGCTCTGTGCAAGAGCAATCTGACCTTCCACCCCAGTGTCTCGTTGGCTTCTCCATCTCCACTCCTGCTCCTCAATCCATATCACTGGCGTCTTTGGTCTCAAGCAATTTCAAACACGCATCTGCGCGCAGGTGCAGACAAAATGCTGGACGAAATAAGGACCCGTATCTCAGTCCTTGTACAGTCCCAGCGTAAAGAAAAACATGCCAAAAATCCGTCTGTCCCACCAACGCCACGCCATGAATTCGGGACAAGAAAAAGATGTCTTCCACAAGAAGTTTAGAGAAGCTGAAGGAGCCACCATTGATGTTGGATGAGCGCGTAGATCCTCCCTGATCGGAAACTCAAAAGGGACCAAAATGTCCTTTTCACCACAGATTGGCCGTACGTCAGGCACGCTCCCTTAGCCTGTACTTAACCAATTCATATTTTTATAAACATAGCCTCTTCACATGGCGTTTGGGCCATATGATATGTGACGAAGTGAGGCACAGACATCACATTATGATGCAACGACAGCCAGGACTTCTGGTCTCACCCTCGCGGTGGGTGGAATAGGTGGATTTTCCGCCCTTGGTGTCTTCTTCTTCGACGTAGTCTTGCGGCTTGATCGTCATGTGCAACACATTCGGTGCGTCAACTGAGAACTTGTAGTCTATTGTCCACACCCGAGAAGGCATCAAGTCAGTCACAAAGTAAATATACAAAAGAGCCGATCGCGGAATGCTATAGCCCCATCTATTTTCTGGGGTGTGCACTCACCTTTGAGGGATGCTTTATCATCCAACAGCTTGCCCATGCTTATCAGCCGAATCGAAGTCGGGCTAGACGGTTTTGCTTCCCACTCTTCCCGCCATTCGCGCAGAATCAATTCCTTCAGTTTGTAGACACTGAGGTTGAACGGATCGTTCTCTGGTACCTCGACGTTGCGCTTCGCGAAATATTTATTGTCTAGCTTGAAAGGATGTCGTGCTCCCGAGGTGAGGAGTAGTGTCACCGTCAGAGTTGGCCCTGCGGCAGTTGTTGCTGGTGCTTCGTCTTTGGCGGGAACTGTAGGCAACGGCTCGTCTGAGGAAGGGCCAATGGCGGTAGAAAACTGTCTTGATATTTTTTGTTCGGCGACTGCAGCGGATGGGGAAGGGGGATTCATCGACTGGACCATTGCGGTGTTTGTGTCGGTTCTCTGCGGACCGAGTGAGGGTGGCAATTGAGTCTCGTTGGTAGGCGAGGACGTGGTCTCTGGAGATGATGAGGGAGCATGAGCATCGGCAGAGGCAGCCGGATCCGAAGAGACGTTGGACATGTCGACGGGTGTGGTTGAAGAGAGGTCTTGTTGCTGCGCACGAGATTGCTGTTGCAGCCGAGGACTACCTGGGGCTGGCACACTAGAGGCCTGGACGGGTGCGCTCGAGTGGTTGGCGGCGATGTTGTCGGAGGTCACGATCATCACCTCATCTGAGGCGCAAACAGATTGGCAAGACCCAACAGATACGCCAGTAGAGGACTGATCAGAAGTGATAGGTGGTGTTATGAGGAAAGTAGTTCAATGCATCCAAGTCAAGCGAGTGACTAGGATGGGAAAACCATGCCAAGTTTCTGGAGCAAAAGCAGGGTCACGGATAGTCCTGACTGGGGGATCGAATTGATGCGAGCTGAGGAGAGAGAGGGTGGAGGAGTAGGAGGGAGCGTGGGAGTCCGGCTTGAACCCGTGCCTGTGCCTGTCCTGTGCCTTTGCCGCAGTGGGTGTCGCAAGAGTAACGTTCGAGGAGCCCAGACCAACAAACCGCCACGGAGCACGGAGCAGGCAGCCTCGGACCTTGAATCTGGAACGGACGACCCCGGAGATGTGCTGAAACTGAGACACAATGGGCTCGGGTTAATACATAGATGGTTTGATGGGCCTTCAACAAACAGAACTGGTAAGGAAAGAATATCTCCAGCACCGTGTGCTTGTTTGGGAACGGGTAAAGCAGTCAACAGAGGGCGCAGCGAATGGTGAAGGGCGGATAGAAAACGGAAGAGAGGGAAGAGGGCAGAAGAGCGTGTGCTAGTGGGTTATTCCGGGGGAGGCCAGTTCTCGTGGGGATGCCTATTGGATGCCCGTAGTGTCCTTGGAGAGCATGGCCAGGTGCTACTACGGTTAGAGTAGGTGACTCGGTGAGTAGGCGCGCCCCTGCAGTTATAGGAGTTAGCATCTAATTACCCAGTAGGTCCTAGGTGCCTAGTAATTCAGTTAGATCTCCCTTATAAGCACCTGAGAAACTTTTAGGCTTAAACTCTCTAACCGGGTGCCCCGAATGCCCCTCCTGGCACCTGGCAGTCTCTAACCGGCGTCCGCCTCTCTATGCTGATCTGATGGTTCACCACTCACAATCATCATCCACAGTGACAGCCTCAAACTTCCGACCGGACACTTTCCTCTCACACGTGTATCAGACCACCCACTTTGTCCTCTTTTTGCCTTTGGTTCCTGTCTCCTCTTGTTCCTGTTCCTATTTCCCCAAGAGCAACGCTGTGGTACAATGCAGGATGACGACATTACTTAATAAGGTCTGATTACAACAGCTTCTATAGCCACGCTTCATACTGTCCGGGGTCCTCGACTCGGACGCCCTCATTGTCCTGCTTGACGCCCAATAACCTGACATGCCCGATTGTCGCTCCACTCGCATCCTGACTCTTCCATCCTTCCAGTTTGGCTTGCAGTGTCTTGACAGTTTCGCCGTCGTTCTTCACTATCAGGGAGACGGCATCGTACCCGCCTGCGCCCGGGGCAACTCCTCCCACCACTCCAGGGAGGCTGGTGCAGAAATCCAATAGCTCTGTGATCACTGGGGGCTCTACCGGCACTCCGGACTTGATCGACATCTCCCTCACAAGGCTTCGAATGGTGAGAATAATGTCCCCCAGTGCTGTAAACCCATCCTCGATCCCTTGAACCTCGACCAGCCGCCTTAGTTCTTGACATAGTTCCTCTTGACCTTGCTGTAGCGCATTCCACAGTAGCGTCGCCTCGTCGAGATTCTCTTTGCGCCACTGCAAGATCTTCTTGACCATGCCCGGTGTCTCCGATCCGCAATCCACGTCACACATGACGAGGGAGAGGCTCTCTGGAATCTGCACAGCACGACTCGCAATCTCGGCGTCCCATTTTGCGTCCAAGTTCAAGTCGTCCACACAGCGATGTAGCCTCTCGCCGAAACCTGGACTTGTGGGTTCGCCCACATTCTCCAGAATCGAAGGCGTGAACCTGCGATAAAGGCAAGACCCGTAAACCGCTGCGGCGACGTCGAACCCTGAGCCAACTTTCCCTTGAGCTGCGCAGTGTGCCGCCTGGGCCAGATTGTGGATAGTTTGGTGATTCAGCTGAGGTTGTCCGCTCGCAGAATCATGTTTTAAGTAGAACGAGAGAATTGCGGAAACGAACGCCGTGACCAATGCCGCTGAAGATCCCAACCCAGTCTTGTGTGCTTCGCTCAACTTGACCCCGAAGCTTGCAAACCTCGCCGACTTGGCCGATACCGATTCGGAAGACTTGGACTGTGACTGTGGTTGTGAATAGTAATCGTCGTCAGCCAATATCGTGACTTTGACACCCTTTGAGAGATGCTGCAATCCAGCAACGTGCGAGAGATATGTGAGCCCGTATCTCAGCGTCGTCTCAACGAACCTGTTCGGACTGGCGGTGAACCCGGACCCCTCGCGATCCCGGACTTGCTCGACCTTGACCGTCCCGTCCGTGCAGTCGAGTCGGTACAGCCACCTGGCATCAACGAACTGCGGCGACTGGACCAGGACATGTGGTCCGTTCGGCGTGTCAGCCGCAGACACAGGGATCGAGACACGATCCCCGTCCACCCATGGCTGCACGACCACGTGGATCCGCGCGTTGAGACCAAACACAAGGCCCGTGTGGTGGCGGTCCAGGACCAGGAATCCGCCGGCGAAGAGGACCTTGCCTGGTGCAGAGACAGCCACTGCAGGGAGGGACATCGGAGCAAGGAGAGAGAAGGGGATGTTTTTGGTGGGAAGAGATGGGACCTTTTTTTGAGTTCAAAGAAAGGGGTGGAACAAATTCCCATGGGGACGAGAACATCAACAAATCAGACATTGCACCAATCAGCGTGCGCAGATGTCGACAAACCAATCATCGTGGCTCTGCAGGTTCAAGTACCTTACATCTACTCGGTATTTGGAGTATCAAGAACATGGATCAGAGCGCATACTGAATAACAACCGCTCAGCACATATCAAGTACGGGGTATGAGTGCACCCTTTAGCCACATCGACAGTTTGCACTTCTAGTCAGTCTATTAATAGCCATTGACCAAGGGATATTGCCGCCTCAGACAATGGTAATTTCCTGCCGTGGCATCGCTCTCAGTATAGCATCCACTCGGCCAAACCGAGACTGGAATCCTTCACGGCTCCAATCCACAATGACATGATCTTCGACGATTTCGACGTAGCCGATCCGTTCATAAACGCTGTGTTTTTCTCTTGCTCGCAAGACCAGCCCTAGATGCAGGTTGTTATCGGGTCCATCTCTGTTGACTCTATCAGGAATCAAGGTCGATGTCGCAATCGGCACGACAAGGACCTCTGAATCCCATGGTACATGATGCTCTCCTGGCAAGTCGTAGTCGTAGTCCGGATAGTACCGATTCACATCCATCTTGCCATCTTTCATCTCTGCGGTCCTTACAAGTTCTGGCCACCGACTCCGAATCCATGGCCTTTTCCAGGTAGCTTTGAGGACAGGGGCACGAAGGTCAATTCGAACCTCGTCCTGACTCGAGGAGAAATTGCCCAGCTCCGGCGGGCCTTTGGTATCACAGTGGATGCCCAATAGTTCCACCACTCCAAAAACGGACCCTATCCTCAGATCCCAGGCCACCTGGACTTGGACAGACGCCCACGACCAACTCGGAGCTCTCCAAATGGCTGGTCTTGCCGACTGTGGCCCCACTGGAGTCCGCCACATTAGATCAATGAGGAGAGTAGATTTCCAGAGTCCTGCTAGAAACGCATCATGAGGTCTTAACCTATACATTCTTTGAGTCAAGGCAGCCAGCGCTGGGAAGATGTCACTTGGATAGGAAATATGGAGACGGGTATACTCTTCCACGGTGCGATACCACAATGCTCTCGGGTCTTCCTGTCCTATTTTGCCCAGAGTCTTCCACGAAGGATCCCAGCCGTGCAAATCCGACAAAAACTCGACTTGGTCTGTCGCATCGTCATCACTGACGCCGCTTTCACTTCTTCTCATACATCGGCACGACCACATGACTTCTTGAGAGCAAAAGTGCAGCACGCGAACTGACAAGTGCATCTCCTGATAAACCCAGGCACGGTCTAGCAGGGGGAAGTTGTCCAGATCCAGGTGGAAATCGTGCACTGGGTAGCTCGGGGGTTTCAAGCGTACATAGACATCTTTGCTCCCATCAACCAAACGCGCAAGGTGACGGGCATCAGTGCGACAGTAACAACCTTGGCAGCCTTCCTTGGATTTCGAAGCAGCAATGGTGATCAGAGCGTTTTCGTAGATGGAACCGACCTCAGTGGCGTTCAGAGACCAATCTTCACTGCTATCTTGAAGAATGCAGAGGGAATCAATCCATAAAAAATCAATGTGTAGCCGGCGACAGATGTCTATGGCATCTTGAAACGTTTTAGTGAGTTCTGCCCACGGCACTTCCACCTTGAATTGTTCTATCGTAGTCCGTTTTGCTTTGAGAATAGTACTCTCCGGACGCCGAGGGGACGGGCCCCAACAGTGGCTCAGGCATGCGTATGGGTGTCTCTTGTGCACACTTTCTTCACGGAGCACTACTTTGCCGTTCGTGACCTCCAATAGTCGGCGTGGGAGGCGTGAGGCATGACTACTATTGCCGACGTAGGGTTTGGGACAATTTGGATGGTTGGTTAGACAGTCTGTCATCCAGGCCCTGATCGTGTCAAAACTCGCAGCCGAGGACGTATCTCCTGGAAGTAGATGTCTTGTTTTGCTTGAACCTGGGTGTTTTCTAGGTTCCGCTAGTTATACCTGGTGCGTTAGTCTCTCCCAACGGACATCACGGCATTTACTCAGCCAAGAGCTCGTGAGAACGTCCCGCTCTCAGAGCTGGAACAGTACTCACAGCCAGGGGTGAAGATGTCAAGTTGAAGATTGTCGTCCGACTGGTCTCCATCCCCGTCCAATGTCAAATCGAACCAGAAATCCCACGTTCCGTCTAAAGAACCGTCACGAACGAGAATACTAGGGTCGTAGCACGCAATGCACTTGGCTAGGAGGGAGCATCGAGAGCAGCTGTCTTCTGCAGCGAGTCGAAGTTGATCGATGGCGCAGGACAAGTCCCAGGTGCGACTCGACGAAGCTTTTGGCAAGTGGCAACAGAGGCAGTTTTGAGAGGAAGCAGTTGCAGCAAGCTCGTGTCTACAGAGTTCGAGGAACGCGCTCAAAGTCATTTGACAGCTACTGAGATGGTGTGGAATGAGGAGAGAGACACAATCGGGAAGTGAAAAGAGGCGTCGAGGTTTGCGGAGTCGATGCTTCTGAGACGATTGGCGTCTTGGCGACACTAGGCCACATCTGGCAATAGGCCAACTGCGCATCATGCAGTGCCACGAATGCATAATTCCCCCTCCATCACCACCACAACCTAATCATTGTCCAACTTTTACTCCCATCCTCAACCAATCCCTTCGTATCTCGGATACCACACATCCCACATTCCCGTCTTCGTGACTTTGAGGCCCCCTGCTGTCAATTGCTCCACGGCTGTCATCCAGTCGGACGTCCTGGGAAGTAGATGACGTGGTGTGGATCGTCGAGCCTTACTCGGATGCTCCATGCCCATACGGAGCCTTGCAATTCCGTCGACATGGACAAAGTCTTATCGCCTTTGGGCTTGTGTCGCGTGCCCGAGGATGCCCATCTGCATTTCTCGTGGAGCCTCGCTTGTCCCAAATGTACCAGAGTGATGAGGCCACTCTCACAAACTCAAAGTGTCTGTGTTTCCGGCACCTCCGTCATGAGGGGCGCCTATCGAGCACCTGCGTTAAGTTGGTCAAATTGATTCTGTTTGTTGTTTGGTGGTTGCGCACAGATCTTGTTCTTCTGCTCACCACCTTTGTCCTACCTGTCTTTTGCATCATTTATTGCCGTTCACAATCCTTCAGCGGTCAGGTGGCCAATAGCTGGCTGAGCGAACCCCTGGGTAGCCTATCCAATCAAACAAGAGCAGGGATCTGAGGATACCCTTGGAGGTGCTAATTAATCGTACACGAATTGGGCAGTTACCGGAAACCTCATTGACGAGTCTCATCGAACCGTCTTGGACGTGGGCGATCGCGACGACTCAGAGGCCAGACCCATCCTTTCCCGGCCTTTGGACGAAGACGGTCAATGTGCGCAACTCTATCTGGCACGGCGAAGCTTGCACGGGTACATAATGGGATTCCTGGGCCTGGGCGAGCCATCCTGGGGGACTCTTATCATTTTCCTTGGAGCATGGATCAACCGTGACTTTACCACCCCCATTGCACGGCCGACTCGAGAGTCTGACATCGTCCTCGTCGAAGATGTCGGTCATGAGATGGGGCTCGAGGCTCTAGATTCGACACGTACGGGAGACGCATCACTGACAATACGCAACGCAGAACGGTGGCGTCCAAGAGAATTGTCCCTACTCGGGCTAAAGACGACAATTCAAACACCGAACACGGCTGTCTTCCGAGACAGAATATTCAGCAGAGTGCTTTTGCGCTTTCCTTTCTTAATCGAGGTCGTTTACTGGGGCCTCATTTACGGCGTTGAGTCGAAGACACTCCCTGGTACTACGCAGGCGACTAATGCATTTTATAGGTCTACCAGTTTGGTCGGGGCCAGTTGGCTGTCAGATTCGTCGACCAGACCGTCGATATAGCTTGTCATCATGCCCTGGCCGTCATTCAACTAGAACAGCGGCTCCACATATTCTGGGAACTGAGCATCCAGAAGTTTTTCCTCCAGTATCCCGGGTTGATGTGGTGGATCAACCGGATCTACAGTTTTATCCATCTTCCTGCGACGATCACTTTCCTAGTGGGCTTATACTACTTTGCCATCACGCGCAACCGATCTACGGTCAATTCAAACTGGTCTGATCATGCCGTCAGTTCCAACGGTCCGGAACTTTACGAATCTCGGCGTCGGGCGCTGGCGCTGTGCAACCTCTTTGCATTTTGTGTCTTTAGCACTTGGCCATGCATGCCTCCCCGTCTGTTGCCGGACTCGAAATTGCCTGGTGAGCCAGGTGAGCTGGCGCGAAGCTTTGCCTTTGTCGATACGGTGCACGCACGCGACGGAGCTGTCAGCGTCTTCAACACGAGGAAATGGACCAACCAGCTAGGTAGGAGCTGCGCTGCATCCATGTGGTGAATATCCAGGAAGAATGCTGAGATTCTATGTCTAGCCGCAATGCCCTCACTTCACTTCGGATACTCGCTACTGGTGGGCGTCTCTGTCATGCGCCTCCCCTTCGGTCCCACGACCAAACGATATAGGATCTCCATTCCCGCGGTACCACTCCTCAAGTCCGACCGCACCGGCGTTGTCCTTCGGATCCCTTCTCTGCCCAAGCTCCTCTGCGAGATCGTCGGCTTTTTGTATCCATTCTCAATCTTGATCGCCATCATCGCGACCGCGAACCACTTCATCCTGGACGCCGTGGCGGGCGGCATGATCTGCTTCTTCGCCCTACGCTACAACCACTTTATGAAGAATCTCCTGCCCCTCGAGGACTGCGTCTTCTGGTGTCTCCGCGCTCACAAGCCCGTTCAAGAGCTGCCGGACCAAGGCGCGCGCCTCGACGACAAGATCTAGTCAAACTTCTCCCGAAGGACGGCTGCAGTAACGGACCCTCTCCGAAAGTGTTGGCGCCCTCTATTATAAGAAGAGCACGGGTGACAGGGTCCTGAGCTCTTGAACAACGCCCAGGACCGACCTTGGAAGTATAACCCCGGAGACAACAGGACCGATAGAGCAGAGCAGAGCAGAGCACTAATGCGCAACGAGACGAGACGAATCGAGTCACGAAGACATGAATCAGTGGGGCTACGAGTGGGAATTTACGCCAGTGGGGAAGTTACCCAGTACACAAGCACCAAGTGAAAATGTCTCTTGGTTGGTGTGGCAAGTGATCACGAAAGGATCTTGAACGTGGAAATTAGGACCGAGGACAAGAACACGCACGAGACATGAGGGACCAGGGAGCTAGAGGGAGCTAGATGGCTAGATAGTTATAATTGAGCGAGGCAGTGCAGCATAGCAACAGGGTAACAGGGATGCAGGATGCAGGATGCAGGGATACATTACGGGCCAAGCGTGAACGGTATTCATTACATTTCAAGCGGTATAATAGTATCGCAAGACTTTTACACACAAAGCCTGGCGATATGGGATCATAGAATATTCATCCACTCCTCTTTACATTCCACGCTCTAATGGAGAGTCGATTAGTTAGTCAATTCACCAGAAGGGAAACGGTATATGAACAATACAAATCCGGCGCTGATCTCTCAGAATTCCAAGAAATTCCCTCATCGTTCCTCGTACTGTGCCACTGCCCCTGCCACAAAACTGGGCAGCTAGATTTGGAGGGCCTTCATCTTCGCAACCTCCTCGGGAGGCATGTCGTATCCCTGCAAGTTTGAACCATCCAATCGTGTTAGCATATCTCAAAAATGTATCTCGCGCAATGGATCGCCAGGCTTAAAGTCCATGAGGTCGGTGGATAGATGGATAGATCGACAAACAAACAAACAAACAAGCAAGCAAGGGGATTAGAACTTGGATTGGCATGTATAGACTGTGTAGGAGAGACGTGGCGTGGCGTGGCTTACATGCTTTGCTTCTGGGAACGAGCGCGCCGACACGTCCCGTTTGTACTGCTTCAGGGCCTCGATCGACGTCTCGCCCACGGTGGCCTATTTCTTGTGCCATCTGGAGAGATGTGTAGTCATTAGCACTTCCTCCCTAGGAGATTGTGTCTCTCTTAGACAGACAGAAACAGAGAGAAAGAGAATTTCCCCCGGGTGATGGGCGATGCAGGAAAACGAATACTCACATGGCGGCACAAAGCGAGTTTTCGTAACCCAACAGCTCGGACTGGACGCCAATCTGGGCAGAAGTATTCGGGCCGCATCTAAGAGAAGGCGATGTGGCCAACCAGTCAGTCCTACAACAGCGGTTCGGACGAGTAGACTGGATCGGAAATCACAAGAAGATGAAAACCCCCTCAAGCTCTACTTACCCAATCCCAATCGTCGGAATCTTCAGGTTCGACGTGATCCACTCGGCCGCCGGTCCTGCCACCGTTTCCAGCACCACCGCAAAGGCCCCAGCGTCTTGTAGAGCCAATGCATCTTTCAGGGTATTCTCACTCTCCTCTGCTGTGATCCCATCGGCACTCGCGCCCGAGGTGTTCGTCTGGGGGGTCAGGCCAATGTGTCCGATGACAGGCACACCCGCTTTCACGATCGCCCTGACTCGCGACGCCATGTCGGCGCCGCCTTCCAGCTTGATGGCATCGCACCGGCCTTCTTTGACCAATTTGATGGTATTTGTCGCGGTTGAATGGGTGCTTTCTCAGCAGAGCTCATGGAATGACACATGTAGCCCCACAGCACTGCGGCCTCTTCCAAGATGGAACGCAGAGTTGGATATGTCGACGCTCACCTTGTTCATCCGAGATCTCATATGAGCCCATGGGCATATCGCCGAGCAACAAGGGTGACTTTGCGCCCCGTGCCACGGCCTTGCAATGATAGATCATCTCGTCCAGCGTCGCATAGTTCGTCGCATCGTGGCCCAGTGCCACGATTGTGAGGCTGTCGCCGACAAGAACCAGGTCTATACCCGCTTTCTCGCACAGCAAGGCGGTCGGATAGTCCCAAGCTGTCGTACAGCAAGCGACGCCTGATCAGCAAGCATCGAGAAACTTCTTGACTCCTCCCATTTTTTTAGGCAGGCTGCAGATTCGAAGCAGTCGTAGTGTTGGTAGTTACCAAGATGGCTATCCTTCCTAACTCCCGTCAAATACTCAGTGGGAGAGCCGAGGGGAGTCAACATCGAGGTGGCAAGCTCCGATTGCGCTCGGACATCCAACCGCATTGGCAGCAAGACCCATACTGTACCCATGTGCCATAGCCCCTAGCGAGAGTTAGAGAGTCATAAGCATCGTCGTTACAACGCAGTCTCCCGAGGTCAAGGACGAGTCTCCAACCCCTTTTCCTCTTTTGTGTCTTTTCTTCCCCGCTCCCGTCGTGCGCTAACGCCGTCCGGCAACTTCGCGAATACTTCAGCCTCGCCCTTCGCTGCTGTCAAGAGTCGAAAACCCCAATCTTTTGGAAGACTACAGGCCCTCGCGAATTTGTAGAAAAGGTTCCTGCAGTAGCGACACATCCTTGCTCGCTAAATAGTTCACACACCAGCGGCTTTTCCAGCACCATCATTCCTCCATCTCCTGGGACATTTGCTTCTGACTACAATGGCTCCCTCAGCGACAAGCAATGGTGGCTCCATTCCGGTCAAGGCGGACATAAGCAAGAACCGTGCTGTGGTCATTTCAGGGATCAATGATATCACCGTCCAAGACTGGCCTGTGAAGCTGGATTCGTACCGGGATAGCCCGATATACGTTGCCGGTTCACCACTACCGAGTGGTAAAGCCCTTGTCCGGATTCGCGCTGCGGGAATCTGTGGCTCAGATGTAAGTACCGGTGCGCAGTATTTGACAGAGCTAATCGAAATGTTGACCGAGATTTATAGATCCACTTCTGGAAAGAGGGCCGTGCAGGCCCTGATATCATCGAAGAACCTTTCATCATCGGGCATGAAGCTGCTGGGGAAGTCATTCAGGTCGCTGATGATGTCAAATCGTGGGCACCTGGTGATCGTGCCGCGATCAAACCGGCTCTTCCCTGTTTGGCGTAAGAGTGTCCTGAATAAGACCTTGGCCACGGTACTGAAATGTGATCAGTTGCGAAGAGTGTACGACCGGCTTTTCCAATATCTGTAGCTCGATAGAGTATTACGGAGTACCGGGACCCGGGCGGCAGGATGGTTTGCTCACCAACTACAAGATTGTCCCGGTTACCGCACTGGCTCGCCTGACGCCCAAAATCTCATGGGTCGAGGCTGGTGCGATACAGCCTTTTGCCATCGCTATCCAGATGACTCGACAAGCTGGACTGAAGGCGAACCAAACTGTGTTGGTCCTCGGGGGTGGCTGTATCGGGTTGCTGCTGGGAGCAATCGCCAAAGCGTGAGTCCTGACCAGGCTATTCGTACTTGGTGTGCATGCTGACCACAGTCTTGAAGGTATGCCGCGAAGAAAGTAGTCGTCTTTGAGGTACAACCTCACCGGGCGGAATTCGCAAAGACATATTGCGCGGATCAGGCATTTGTCAATCCACCCCGCCGCCCCAACGAGACGACAGAAGAATATTCCAGCAGAGTTGCCAAAGACATCCTAAGCTCTGTGGATGGGCTCCACCGTGGGTTTGACGTTGTGGTGGAAGCTGCAGGCGCCGAAGAGTGCATGCAGATCGGACTCCACGTCTGTAGACCTGGAGGGACTTGTGAGCGTCTTCAAGATGGAAACCACTTCCAAAGTGTTGCCAGACTAACCTGAGGTGTGTTCTGATAGACGTCCAAGTGGGACTGCTCAACGGCCAGTTTCCTCGGCTTCCAATAATGGACATTTGCTCCAAGCAGCTCAACGTGCGAGGTGAGGCTTGCAGACCCGACGCACCACCGTTATTTTGGCCCTGACAAAAACGATCACAGGAACCTGGAGATATAGTACCAACTGTTTCGAAGACGCCATATCGCTGATTGACAGAGGCCTTGTCGATGCGAAGTCACTGATCAGCCACGTCTTTCCCTTTGAGCAGAGTCTGGAGGCATTTGAGACCGTCCATGAAGTCAAGGCGAAAGATGGCAGGCATGTCTTTAAAGTGGTCATCTCCGACGAGAAACTGTAGATATGACAGTAGAGATGGCACTTCTATATGCAGAGCTTGCCGAGAGTGCTTCTTGTATGCTCTGGGAGATTCGGCTCCTTCTATCAGGGAGACTGGTGAAATTCGCAGGGTGTACCGAGTAAGATAAGGCATCGCAGCCAATGTCGTAGCTGGCAGGCATGATTACTTCGGCTGTGGTCCTGATGGGGCAGAGGACTCTCGATAGGGATGTCGCGGTTCTGGACAGGGGTCAGATGGGAAAAACACGGATGATGTCAGGGAGGAATAATGAGTCGATACATAATATGCGAGGAAGTCCTACCTGGTAGTGCTGGGATATCAATTCAAATGACAGAATTGGCCCATCAGGAAAATGGGAAATCGATGTTCAAACAGCTCTGATATACACCAAGTACCTGACTACCCACCCTACCTCGTACACCATGATCTATTCCTCCCTCTTGCACCTGTGGACCTACCAATGGTCCGTCCCCGTTCCCTGTGTACTTTCATGTAGCTTTGTCGTGATAAACAGATTTAAAAAGAAGATACCCCAAGGCAAATGCTCTACATGCACTCCTGGCAACAGGCTGTTCGAGCCATGATTCCGTATACGCACTCGACATCATTAGATCTACTCGGTATAGATGTACATTCCACACGTCTCTCCATCAGGTTGGAATCATCCCGACATGTGTTGTTCTGCCAGCCAAACACCGTCCCTCATGGTAAACGCCCGCGGACCATTTGTATACAACGTGTTGAGTGTACCCTTTCTCCTCGGTCGCCCTTAAGACCACCACTCCCTTCATCAAGCTGTAGAAGCCCTTCTCTTTCAGATCTGACCCAGGTTAAGTACCGGTATAAGGATCAGTTGTTCTGCGGAGGAATTTGCAAAGTCATCTTGTCTCCCTCCACCGTAGCGACACCAGGCACAACACCTGGGGCCGGTGCTGGCGGTCCCGTTCCCGATCGTCTTCTCCTTTCCCTCTCCGTAGGTCCACTCTCAATTTTACTGAGCATGAACCCATTTTCGTCCCCAGCAACACCACTCTTTCGGAATTTCCCACCCATGCCGTTCATCCAGCTATCATCTTCGTCACTGCCCAGCCAGTAACTTCGGCCAATGCCGACCATAAAGCGACCAAGTTTGCCTCCCCAACCCTTTCCCTCTGGTCTGCTCTCAGAGAACGGATTCTCTGCTAATTGGGAGTTTATTGATGCGGTGGTATAGTCGACGCCCAGTTTAGATCCGCTCGAGGCAATATGTTGTCGGATGACCATGCGGGCGAAAGCCAGCATGATCAAGCAGAAATAAGCTCGGATGGTCCACATGGCAATAATAACACCCACGGAATTCATGTTTTGCGAGTCCAAGACGGCCGATTGCAGGGCGCCGTTGCTTCCGCTGCCCGCAGCGTTGGTGGCAGGGACCCCAGCGGCGACAGCGTCCTGACCACCACCCGTCATGGGAGGCTGGGGTGTGGCAACGACTTCTACTCTCGAGACATTGAGTTGTGGATCCGTGAATCCCGATACTTGGTCCATAGTCGATGCGCCTGGTCCTTTCTTGTCCGTCTTCCCTGCGTCATGCTGTGCCAGCACCAAGAACCATGTCGCAGCGAAGACGGCGGTATATGCGGCGTTAACGATACTGTCCAAGACGTAAAACCAAGCCAGCGCAAGGCACTGCAAGGGCGATTGTTTTCGGATATGTCGTGCAAGGTAGGCAGTCAGGACGAGTGCGACGGTCGAGTAAATGTACATGGACAGTTGGAAGGGCGATAGGTGGTATCCCGTGAAGAGCGCAAGAATGCCATAGAGGCCAGCGAGTTTATTGACCAGCATCGAGAGGGTAATGAGACTGGCGCCCGTCGAGAGCGTCATCGTGTAGAAGAAGCGCTGTGCAGAACAAGTCAGCATGGATTGAAGGAACTCGAGGTTTCGACACTGTTGGCATACCTTTGGACGGCCCAGGCGCAAGAGGCGCGCGGAGATGCCATAATTCGCCATAGTCAATGCAAATACTAGGAAGGAACCCAAAGAGATACTATCGTTACCGTCGACAAAAGTCGCGCGAGAGAAAAGGAATTGAGATGGCAGCAAAGGGCGGGAAATTAGATGGATTGACGGGTTGGTGGAGGGCGAGAAATCAAGGAGCCACCCACAGCCACCCAAAAGCGGCATCCCCGGAACGGCCGTTGGGTGTTTACATCATCATGCACAAGGCTTAGTTGATGTGCATCAGGCTGCATTAAAAGATAAAGGCTTCATATAACAAAAGACAGGACCAATCACCTATAATAACCCCACGGCTCCTCAGTCAGCCATTCTATTATTTTGCATGCAATCTCATCTGTCTAGGTAGAAGGTAGAATACAAATTTGCCAGGCCAGTCGATGAATCCGATGGGACATACTTCAAGCACGGCTATCAAGAACACCCTTTCCCCTGCCATGTTCATGCGTTCGGTGAGCCACATGTCGGTATGGTTCTTGACGCCGTTCACTTTCTTTGCGCCTCGTATCTCTGCAGAATCGTGCTTTCCACCCGGGCCCCAACTCAGTGTGGATGAGTTTTATTGCAAGTGCCGCCGTCACCATCACCTTAGTCGTACAAGCTGTCATCATTGCCAGCATCACCAAAGCCAGTACCGTTGGCGGCATCGGCTTCTTGACCAGCAGAAGGGAATTTGAAGAAAGCACTACCACCGCTCTGTTTCATGGCTTGTGCAAAGGCTTCATAGCGGCGAATCTCCACATCGCTAACGGACCGCCGGGCAGCTTGCATGGCCTCTTCAAAGTGTCGTCGGGTCAGTTCTGGGACGGGATCCTCGCCTTCGTCGGCGTCCATGGCATCCTCGCCAGCGGCCTCTCGTTCCTTCTGTCTTTCAATGTCTGCGGCAATCGACTCCTTGATGGCGAGTTTGACAGCCCGTTGTGTGACGAAGCCCAAATCGGCACCGGAGAAACCATGGGTCTTGCTGGCAATGTATTTAAGATCCACATCTGCAGCGACAGGAGTCTTGCGCAGTTGCGCCCGGAGAATGGATTCACGGGATGCTTCGTCGGGAAGAGGGACGTAGACAAGAGTGTCCAGACGTCCGGGTCGGCAAAGAGCATTGTCGAGTTGCTCAGGTCGGTTGGT